CCTGGCTTTTAATTCCCTTTCTCCTGCTCTTCCCACTGGCACTTTGGGCATCACTGAGTTGTCTCTCCTCACCTGTAACCCTGGGGCTGACTGCTCTTCTGTCCGGGTTCCTGGCTTTTTATCCCCTTTCTCCTGCTCTTTCCACTTGCTACTTCGGGCGTCCCTGAGTTGTCACTCCTCACCTGTAACCCTGGGGCTGATTGCTCTTCTGTCCAGGTTCCTGGCTTTTTATCCCCTTTCTCCTGCTCTTCTGGCCTGCTACTCTGGGTGGGCCTGAGTTGCCTCTCCTCACCTAATCCCTTCGGCTGACTGCTCTTCTCTCTGGCTTCCTGGCTTTTAATCCCCTTTCTCTTGCTCTTCCCGCTTGCTACTTCGGGCGTCCCTGAGTTGTCTCTCCTCACCTGTAACCCTGGGGCTGACATTTATAACATACAGATCTATAATTAGCTCAAAATGAATGTTTGATTTTTTTTTAATCACAGAAAAAAATTTAAGAAAACCTTACAATTGTTTCACAAAGGACAATTATGGGCCAATAGCTGAACTTTCTTTTTATTCATAGATTTAATATTGTGGTGTCTAAAATAAAATAAGGGAGCTCTGGTAGCATAGTACCTAAGGCACTTGACTGCTAACCAGAAGGCTGGTGGTTCAAACCCACCAGTCACTCCTCAGAAGGAAGATGGAGCAATCTACTTCCATAGTGATACTGCCTCAGAAACCCAGGGAGGGGTCACTGTGAGTCGGAGCCGACTCGATGGCACATAACAACAACAACAACAAAATAAAATAAATGATAATTTCCCTCTTTTTGTTTAATTGGCACACTAGTGTTAGCAACAGCCTAGTTATCCATGGATATTACTTGTTAATTATACTTTTTTTTCTTTTACATCCAAGTTCTTAAAAAGTGTTCTTTAAAACATATATAAAGTATGGGAATTAATTTAAAAATTGTGGAAATCTCTTTGCCATGTCCTTCCTGAATTGTTTTTTTCTTTTGTTTTTCCTCCCTATCATTTTTCTAAACTTTCAGATCAATATGCTTCTCAATTTTAAGGGTGACAAAAGTCAATGTCCTTGTCCTGAAGAAATCAGAGACCAACTCTTGGATTTTCATGAAGATTTGATGACACATTGTGGTAAATTCTTCTTGATTTAAAACTTTTACTAAACATATATATTTAATGTACATTTATTTATACAAAAGAAAATATATATCATTGGGTTCAGTAATGTACATGGTACCTGTTAGGAATTCATATCAGAATTTACATTATGACAAAGTAGTTAACCTTTCCTTTGTGGGAAAACATCAGGGATAGAAAGAATATCAGAAACGTAGCAGTCCAATCAGCAGATGACAGGAATTCTTTCTGTCTTTTCGTTATTAGCACTTTGAGAGGGAGATTAAAGAAGGATAGAAGCATGGAGCAAGATGCTTTTGGTAGAGAAGTGAGATTGGTTTAGTCTAAAGAAATTAGATCACAGTTATATTTAAAATGGTTGACAGGCTGATATAAGGAAACTACCATATATCTTTTTAAATTTTATGCCTGAGGAAATCTTTTATTTATATGTCAGTAGGCCAAATCTATTAATCCACTTTCATTCTTAAAAAACCAAAAAAACCAAACTCACTGCTGTTGAGGTGGATCCAACTCATAGTGACCCCTCCTTGGGTTTCTGAAGCAGTGTCACTACAGAAGTAGATTGCCCAAACTTCCCTCTGAGGAGTGGCTGGTGGGTTTGAACCACTAGCCTTCAAATGTCTTAGGCACTATACCAGCAGAGTTCCTCTTTTATTTTCAGGCTTTTTAAAATAGAATGATTAGGTGTTCTGAGTGTGATTATTTTTTTCCTGTATGCAGGAGTATTGCTAAGATCTGTTATTCAGTGAAAGAAAAGGAATTAGGCTTTTCTAAAGTGATGTCTTTATCTATATCATTATGAAGACCATAAAAACAGTATCTCATACGTTAATTGAGCTTATGAATGAAGAATCCCTAAATGACTGCCAGAAAATTAGAGTATGTATATACTTTGAATAAAGGAATATTCAAATATGGTGGAATTATTGATTCATACATAAAAAATTTCCTGGTTTAGGGTACCTAGTTATGCCTGCTTTCTATGTCATCTCAACTTATCAAATACCACTGGCTTTTTTTGAGGCAAGCAAGGAGGAAAAACTCTTTGTAGTTTTGTAGGCAGGGCATGACCATAGGTCTGTGCAGATAGTGCCACATGTCCAGGGATGTTGGAGGTCAGCCCAAATAGTAGAATTAATCATAGGTCCTAAGAGAGTTCTTTTGGTCTCTGCTCAGTTTGTTTTGTGCTGGATGCTGATAGCCTTGATTCCACAAGAACAGGGGAAAAAGAGAAGGGGGGTAAAAAGCCCTTTCGGGTGAATCTTATTTGTGATTGTTAGCAGGCAAGATCGCTTAATTCAGTATTGTCTAATATTTAAACCATGACAACAGTGCTATAAGCAATATGTGGAAAAAGCTGGTAAGCCTTAGAATTATTTCCTTAAAATGTATTTTTTATTGCAGTAAATATGTGTGTAGATATAGATATAGATATACCAAACTCAAACCAAACTCACTGCCATCAAGTTGATTCTGACTCATAGTGACCCCCTTGGGTTTCCAAGGCAATAAATCTATACAGAAGTAGATTGCCCAGTCTTCTTTCCATGGAGAGGCTGGTGGGTTTGAACTGCCAGTCTTCTGGCTAGCAGTCAAATGCCTTAGGCACTATGCTACCAGAGCTCCTTATATACATATATACATATATATATGTATATATATGTATATATATGTGTATATATGTGTATATGTGTATATGTGTATATTTATACATATATATGTATGTATGTATATATATCTATATATGTATATATATATGTGTATATGTGTATATTTATACATATATATGTATGTATCCATATATATCTATATATGTATATATATAGATAGATATAACAAAACATTTGCCAAATGAGCAATTTTTACATGTAAATTCAGTGACACTGGTTATGTTCATCATGTTGTGCCACCGTCACTACTATCCTTTTCCAAATAATTCCACCACCATTAATATAAAATCAGTGCCACTTAAGCAATGATGCCCTATTTCTCCCTCCCTCCTGCCCCTGTAATAATTAAAAAGCTTTGGTTTCTAAATATTGTCTATGTCATATAAGTGGCATCATACAATATTTGTCTATTTGTGACTAATTTATTTCACTCAGCATAGTGTTTTCAAAGTTCATTCATGTTGTGACATATATCAAGACTTCATTTTTCTTTATGGCTGAGCAATATTCTGTTGTATGAATATACCACATTTGTTGAACCATTCATATGTTGATGGACATTTAGGTTTTTATCACTTTTTAGTTATTGTGACTAGTACTGCAGTGAACATTGGTGTACAGGTTTCTGTTTGTGTCCCTTTATTCAATACTTTTGTGTATATGCCTAGCATTGGAATTACTGGGTCATGTGAGAGCTCTGGTGGCATAGTGCCTAAGGCATTTGACTGCTTACCAGAAGGCTGGTGATTCAAACCCACCAGCCCCTCCTCTGAAGGAATATTGAGCAATCTACTTCCGCAGAGATACCACCTCGGAAACCCAAGGAGGCATCGCTATGAGTTGGAATTGACTTCATGGCAATGAGTATGTATGTATGTAGTATGGTAGTTCTTTGTTTAATCTTTTGGGGAACTGCCTGTTTTCCACAGCAGCCATACCGTTTTGCATTGCCAGTAGCAATGGATGAAGATTCCAATTTCTTTACATCCTCACCAACACCTATTGTTTTCTATTTTTTTTATCATAGTCACTCTAGTGGAAGTGAGTGTTATATCATTGTTTTTTGATTTGTCTTTCCTGATAATCTGCTCCCAGAAAGATTATAGCCTATGAAACTTTGTAGGTGATAGGGTCTATCATATAGGGTCACTGTGAATCAGAATACAATAAAAACACACAACACAAAAACAACTAATGACATTGAGCACCTTTTTTGTCTGCTTTTTGGCCATTTGTATATCCTCTTTGGTGAAATGTTTATTCCAGTCCTTTGTCCATTTTTAATTAGATTATTTGTGTTTTTGTTGTTAAGTTGTAGGAGTTCTTTATATATTCTGGATATTAAACCCATGTCAGATATGTGGTTCCCCAAAATTTTCTTTTAGTATGTAATTTGTCTCTTCACTTTGCTGATAAAATTCTTTGATGAACAAAAGTGTTTCATTTTTATGAAATTACATATTGATTTTATCTTTTGCTGCTCCTGCTTTTGGTGGCCTATGGTTTCATATTTAAGAATCCATTATTATTAAAAACTAGGTCCTACAGCCACAGTTCTGTATTTTCTTCATTAATTTTATAGGTTTTATTCACACATTTAGGTCCTTAATTTATTTTGAATTTGTTCTTATACGTGGTGTGAGATGTGTATCTAGTTTTATTCTTTTGCATGTATAAATCTCATTTTCCCAGCACCATTTAATAAACAGAGGGTTCTTCCCCTATGCATAGTCTTAGACCCTTATCAGAAAAATCAATTTACCATAGATGTGTAAGTTTATTTCTAAATTCCCAATTCTGTTCTTTTGGTCTATATATCTATACTAGTATTAAGCTATTTTGATTACTATAGCTGTAGAGTATGTTTGAAATAAGGAAATGTGAGTCCTCCTACTTTATTCGTCTTTTCTAAAGATTACACTAGATGTTTGGACCCCTTATAGTTTGGCATTTCCATTCTGTAAAGAAAGCTATTAGAATTTTGAAGGGCATTGCTTTTCTTTTATAGAGTGCTTTGAGTAGTATTGACATCTTAACAATATTAAACCTCCTTAGTCAATGAACACTGAATGTCCTTCCATTTATTTAAAGCAAAAAATCCAAACTCACTGCCATCAAATTTGATTCCAACTCATAGTGATGCCAGTAAATCTTTATGGAAGTAGGTTGCCGCATCTTCCTTCCACAGAGCAGAGGATGAACTGCCAACCTTCTGGTTAGTAGTCAAATGCTTTAGGCAGTATACCACTAGGGCTTCATTTATTTAGATCTTATTTAATTTTTTTAAAGTAATGTTTTATAGTTTTCAGTATATATGTCATTTTCTTGTTAAATTTATTTTAAATTAAATTGCTTCCCTAATTTCCTTTCAGCTTGCTCATTGCTGATGTATAGAAACCCAACTGCCTTACTTTTAATACCCCACTACTTTGCTGAATTCATTTATTAACTGTAATATCTTTCTTGTGGCCCCCAAATATATTTTTATATACTATTTTTTGCTTTATCTTTGCTTTTTTCATGCTAGGTATTGAGCTGGATGAAGATGGCTCTCTAGATGGAAACAATGATTTAACAATTAGAGGACGCCTGATGTCCCTGGTAGAAAAGGTGACATACCTGAAAAAGAAACAAGGAGAAAAACCAATTGAGAGTGACGCCAAGAAGTCCTGTAAGCAATATGAAATGGCACTAGAAAAATAACACAGCTGATGAAATTTATCTGTCTTTTGAATGAATATTATCCTAGATGATCCAGTGAGATAATTCAGTTTGCAATATCCAAGCATCAGATTCTTAAGTAGATGCCTATAGCTGCCAGATGTAGATCACAACATCAAACAATATTTCTAGGAACATGTTGAGAGACTGCAGCATTATGAGGGTGAATGGGGCTTCTTAGAGAACTGAAAGTTTTGGTATTTGATGAGAGACTAACTATTGAGGAAAAGTATAAGGGAAGTAATTTAATTTTCAAATCTAAATATTATGTTACTACCTTTCAAATATCCTTGCATCAAATGAAAACTTTTCTTAAAGTTTAAGTAGATATTATCTGTAAATATATTTTCATTTAAAAATATTTTCTTTTGTTATACGCTTCTGATTCTTCCATATCCTATTTGACTGGAGAGTAATGTCTGCTACTCTGAGAAAGTGAATAAGCACACTATGGTTGGGAATGTCTGCTTCTTGGCTGGGTGATGGCACATTGATCTAGAAGGGTTTCAAGAAGTTGATCTGTGAGATATGACCTACTTATCTCAATTTAAAGCCATTACTGATTCCAACTTGCAATTGAAAACCATTATCTGTACAACTACCTCTTGATTTGTTCTCTAGTATCAATCAAATTTGAGTCAAATTTTCTTCAACATTGAAGTTCAAAGTTTCTTATGAATCACTATTTGTTACTATCAGGTGCATGATATTGACATTAAAAATCATAACACAATTTTGAAATTCATGAAAGTATGTTGGTATTTGATTTTCATTTTGTATTTGGCTAAAATTGGTCGGTTTTTTTTTTCCCTTAATATAATGTATAGATGCAAGTTAAACACCTTGTTTTGAAAAATAAGCTAGTATATTGATGATAGATATTCAGTACTTCATTATGTATAAGTCAGTTACATCAATCTCTCTTAGCTTTTGCAATTGCATTAGTTATTTTAAGAGTTTTGGAAGTTCTCTGGTTTTTAAGAACACTACATTGCACATTACATTGTAAATAATCTTCTGTAAATAATTTTATTTTCACTTTAATATACCTTCACAGTCTAAGAAGATATTTTACATGAAAATTAGAGATCCAAATTTAAGTGAAAATTGTAATTACTTTTCACAAATGTTTTAACAGAGGAGACAATCAGATAACCCTACATGTCCATGACTTGTCTTTATAAAAATAAATGGTAGATATAGCTTTCATACATATTTTTTGATTCTTTAACTATAATGATGGTTTTTAAAGAAAAGTTTGAATATTTTTATCCTTGCATGTCCTTTACTGATCTTTATTATACACACACACACACACACACACACAAATACAGTGTTCAAATGAAGTTTATTTTGTTAAAAGAATATTCTTAGCATTTTTTCAGTTCTGGTACAAATGTAGATACCAGTTTAAATATATGGAATATGTAGTTAAAATGTCCAATTGATTTGTCTTCTCTTATTATTTTCCTTTTTAACGGACTATACATAATGATTTCATAGCCACTCTTCAGCAGTTGATTTCTGAGACTATGGTCCGATGGGCTCAGGAATCTGTCATTGAAGACCCTGAGTTGGTGAGGGCCATGTTTGTGCTGCTTCATAGACAGTATGATGGCATTGGGGCTCTGGTCCGGGCTCTACCAAAGACCTACACCATAAACAGTGTCTCTGTGGAGGATACCATCAACCTGTTGGCATCCCTTGGTCAGATTCGCTCTTTGCTGAGTGTCAGGATGGGCAAAGAAGAAGAGAAGCTTATGATTCGTGGATTGGGGTAAATTATTTAAGCATAACAATTCTTTGTCTTCTAACTTCTTTCCAATTGTTTATCTCAAAAGTAGTACAATGATACATTGAGGCAAATAATATCTGAATTATATTATCATCAGCTTATATTGTTGTTTTCCTAGTGGTTATATTGTAAAGCTAAATAAGAAAGTAGCTTTCAGTAAAAAAGTATGGCTGATTTCACATCTAGATGCAAATGTAGTCATGGATAAGCAGTGAATGTCTTCTTGTTGTTGTTATGTGCCATTGAGTCAGACCCGACTCATAGCATCCCCTCCTTGAGTTTCTGAGGCAGTAGATTGCCCAACCTTCCTTCCGAGGAGTGGCTGGTGGGTTTGAACCGCCAGCCTTCTGGTTAGCAGTCAAGTGCCTTAGGCACTACACTACCAGAGTTCCTAGTGAATGTCTCAGAGTTGTTATTTTTTTAAATATCTCCCAAACCAAACTAAACCCACTACCATCGAGTTGATTCCAACTCATTGCAATCCCCATTGGATTTCTAAGGCTATAAATCTTTATGGAAATAGATTGCCTTATCTTCCTCTTGTGGAGCAGCTGGTGAGTTTGAACTGCCAACCTTCTCTTTAGCTACCAAGTGCTTTACATGCTATACCACAAGAATCCCTTAATCATATATAAAATACAGGTTAATACCACTCAGAGGGGTATCTATGTAGGAAATCCTGGATAAAGTGGGAAAGCAATGTGGCACAAAAGCCAAAATCATAAATTAAAAAAAAAAAAAGGATCAGATTTGCTGGGCTGATAGAGCTTGGTGGAATCCCTGAGACTGTGGCCCATAGCTGCCCTTCAGGTTTGGAACTGAACCCATTCCTGTGGCTTCCAGCCAAATATAAGACAGGCATATGAGCTAAAGATTTACATTAGCTTAAATACACTCCTTGGAGAGATCAATCATGGGAGAATAGAAGGGCTGTATATGTACATGGAGATAGCTTGGGGGGCAGTTGTGCATGGGAGGGAAGGACTCAGGGAAGAGGTAACTATGGAGTGGAACTGGGATGAGCTGTTGTATTGTGGGAAATCACAGTCAATGTCATGAGACAAAGTGTACGTGAACTGCTGTATGGAAAATGAATTTGCTCCGTACACTTTCACTGAAATCACAATAAAAATTAAAAAAAAAAAAGTACAGGTTAATAAAAACCCACTAAAATTGTGGGGGGGAAATTTCACACCAGTAGGAGATAATAAGCAAGTTTTCCTATGCCTTCTTTGGCCATGGAAAAAGAAGGAAAAGAAAGAAATCAAAAAACTCTTCTGATAATGCAACATCATCAACATGTGCTTTATATGGATTTGACAGAATTTATATCCTGTGCCTACATATCCTATAGTCTGAAGATCCTCAAGCTGAGAAGTTAACAAAAATTGGTCTGGAGAAATGATTTCTCAACTCAGGTCACAGTGAAATCCTTCAGGGGATGAAATCTTGCTACTAATGACTAGAACACAATCAGAAATTTCAATGCACATAAGGAAACAATTCACCGTGAAAAAGAGTGAGTCTGCAGATACAATAAACAGTGAAATTAGACCCCATTAAGAACATTAGATAATAAAATGACATAGCCAATAAAATTAACTGTTAAGTTAAATTTAAAATATAAAAGAATAAATCTAATCCCTTAGGAATAAGATATGCAAAAATTCCATTAGGTATGAAAAACTCAAATAGAACTAAAAATTAAAAATATAATAATTAGCATTAAAATAGTGAATTGATTAAACTGCAGATAAGATACAGCCAAAGAGAAAATTAATAAACTGAACCACAGATCTGAGGAAATTACTCAGAAATGCAGCACATATAGAAAGATAAGGAAATACAAAAGTTAAGGATTGTATAACAAATTTCAGAATATACTGAATAGGATTTCCAGGAAAGACAGAATAGATGAATTGAAGAATGGGAATATTTGAAGAACCAGTGGGTTCAGTTTTTTTCAAAATTAATTAAAAAAAGTGAATTCATAAATTTATAAAGCACAATTAGTTTCATATCAAATACTGGATATACTGTAGTAACCCTGATTAGTAACAAATATAAATAGATCATTTTTTGAAAGTAAGTAGAGGAAAAAGCCAGAATGCTTGCAAAGAAACACTGTTAAGAATTCTCAACAGCAAACTGTAGGTCAGAACTCAACAGGTTGCAGCATTCAAAGTTCTGATGGGAAATAACCATCAATTTAGAATGTGTTACCCAACTGAGAATTCAGCATCATGAGTTTGTGCTATATGTGGATTTGGGAGTTTATACCCCGTATTCAAGAGTGATTGCTAAGGCACAGTATTTTCAGAATATTTACTTACAATTCCTCATTGAAAGACTTTCTAAAATTCTTATACTAAAAATTGAACTTTAGGCAAAAGAAAATGGAATTCAGAGGCAAGGAAAATGATGTGATAAATTTTAAGAATATACTATAGGTGTATATGTGGATAAATGTAAGCAATCATCAAAAAACATGAACAATTTTTAGATATGAAGATTAGAATTAAAATATCAGTCAAAAATAAAAGCTTTGATTAAATCATGTTGATATCCACAAGAAAAATACCTAAACATACGATGGAGAAATCTGGTATGTAGAGTGTTTAAATGTGATATAAAAGACACATACTCAACACATACAAAACCTAATATGGTTATACAAATATCACACAAAAGAGGAGCTTATTAAGAGAACTGCCAACATGAATAAAATCAAACACAAAGAAACAATAAAATAGATTTAAAAACTTAGATTTGGTTTTTTGGGGAAAAATTAATAGAATTAGCCAAGTTTTTGACAGAACTCAACAATAATCCTAAGTGAAGAAAAGAGTGTAGAAAGATATCATTTATGTATATTTTAAACTAAAAAAATCAATATTTTAGTTGTTTTGGGGCATAGTAAATATTTGAAAGTATAAAGTTGGATTGTAAGGCTATATTCCAAATTTATAATGATGGCTAGGTTTTTTTGGAATAGGACCATAACTATGTATAAGCTAAGAATAAGTACAGTATTGGCACAAAGGGAGATAAACAGAAAACCCAAACAACAAAAGCAAATTTTATAGTCTTTGCTTATAAATGTATGAGCATGAGTCATTTCTGAACACTAATATTTAAATCTGAGTAAATCTCTTGTAAGTGATGTAATAAACCAAATGAAAAGAAAGTTGTCCAAACTATGGAAAGCACATTATTTCTAAAAGGAAAATGAAAGAGTATAATTATTTGCTGTTAACACATATAGATGACTCAGTAGTAATAAAACATAAAATGATTATGAAAAAAATAAATTGCTACTTTTTTTTGTAGTATTAGAAATGTTCCACACAAACCATAAACTTAACAAATGACAACTTGCCTTCTGGGCTATAGAATTACTAGTCTGTTTAATTTATTGGAAGTAAAATGAAACAAAGTTTTCCAATTAAATATTTCCCAAATTAGTTCATTTAAAAAGATTTTATTAATGAAAGAATATTACTGTGATTAAAGCTACAGTTTGAAAATGAGTTGAAAGTTCTGTTGCCAAACATGCTTCAGTCTAACATGAAGGAAAAGATGGTTTTCTCTACCTTAGTTTGTTCTGGCCCGAAATTGGTCAGATGTATGTGTACTATTCCTGGGATTCAAAGTCACGTTTTTGAATTGTGCTATCTAACAATTCTCTTTATTAAAAAAAAAATAAACTATTCAGACCATATTATTTCACTTTCTAGATATAGCCAGAGTAACTAAAATTTTGCATCAATTTAAATGAAATACTTGATTGACTCAATTAAGGAAATCAAATTTGAAGGGAAGGTTTCAGTTTTCTTGTGTACTATTTTCCTGCTATAGTTTTAACAGGAAATTGTTTTATACAAAAGACTTGTATTGATTTGATTTATGTTAAAAATAGAAATCAATAAATTCTTAGCACACTGAATAGTACTTCTTACTAAACAGTAAGATCTTTAGAAATACCTTGCCATACATATTGCAATAATAAGTAATGAAGTATTAATAATATGAAACATTTTAGGTGTTCTACGGTGCTGTTTGTTTAAATTGAAGGTTCATCTTAATGAGTTGAATTACTTGTATTTGGACTTCCTATGTGTTTAATTTCTCTTGGAGAACATATACCTTTTAAAATATTTTGCCAAAATGATAATACTAATATAACAGAAAATAACATTACTATAATTACACATAGGAGCTCTGGTAGCATAGTGGCTAAAGCACTTGACTGCTAACCAGAAGGCTGGTGGTTCAAACCCACCAGCCACTCCTCGGAAGGAAGGTTGGGCAATCTTACTTCCGTATTGATATTGCCTCAGAAACTCAAGGAGGGGTCGCTATGAGTCGGGGCCGACTCGACGGCACATAACAACAACAACATAATTACACATACAATATTGACTGCACTACCATAAAATAGTATATATATGAAAAGCAGAGGTAGTTATATATCAAGAATTTAATAGGAATTTTTCTATAAATATAATTCCAACTCATATTATAATGCAAAAGAATGTTGAACACATGGTTGTATACCCATAGTTTGAAATGATAAGTGTCTAGAAATATAAGATCTAAAATATTAAATCGAGATATTGAACTAATGTTTACATGTTTTTCTTGTAACTGAAAATAATTTTTACAGGCTATTATCAGAGTTTTTGAGAGAAATGCAATTAGTTGCACTCATTAACTTATGTTCCTTAACTGTAGTTGCTGTAATTGCTCTTACTTTTCTAATACATCAATAATTTTTCTAAGAGATTAATTAGAGTCTCAGGAAAATTTATATTTAAATTTTGTTCTCACCTCTGTGCTTTCCCTCATGTCTGTCTTGTCCTTTCAGGGATATAATGAATAATAAAGTGTTTTACCAGCACCCTAATCTAATGAGGGCCCTTGGAATGCATGAAACAGTAATGGAAGTCATGGTGAATGTCCTTGGTGGTGGTGAGTCCAAGGTAAAGAACTGCCTTTGGTTCCTGAGATCTTGTCTCAGAGCTCTCTAGAACTCTAGAACTCACAGAACCCATTATATGTATGTATGTATGTGTGTATATATATATATGAATGTAGGAGCTCTAGTAGCATAGTGGCTAAAGCACTTGACTGCTAACCAGAAGACTGGTGGTTCAAACCCACCAGCCACTCCTCGGAAGGAAGGTTGGGCAATCCTACTCCCGTAGTGATACTGCCTCAGAAACCCAAGGAGGGGTCGCTATGAGTCGGGGCCGACTCGACGGCACATAACAACAACAACAACAACATATATATGAATTGGCTCACGTGATTGTAGGAGGCTGGCAAATTCAAAATCTGTAAGTCAAGTGACAGGTTGGAGACTCCCATAGGCTTGTGTCCCAAGATCTGTAAGTCAGGGTACAGAAAATGCAGAATGAGGAGTGAAGTGAGAGTTCTGACAAAAATATATTTTCTGGAGACAGAACACACTTTCGGGAAACTGCCTATTCAACAGATGGACTGATTATATATCACAGTATCATATTACCTGTGGAAGGTAATCTGTTCTACCCAAGGCCAGATAATTTAATCACATGTAACTACTTCATGAAGGTAACTAGACTAGTAGTGTTTGGTCAAACCTCTAGAAACCATAGCTGAGCCAAGTAGACACATAAAAATAACAATCATAGGTGGAATTTATTATAACATACTGAAGTATATAGGTTACATGATCTTAACAAAGATTTTCTTAGATCTTTTTATGGGGACTATTTAATAAAAATAAATATTTTTAATAAAAAATAAAAATAAGGAGCTCTTATCTTAGGTGTAGTGCCTAAGGCATTTGACTGCTAGCCAGAGGTAGGCACTTCAAACCCACCAGCCCCTCTGCAGAAAGAAGACTAGGCAATCTACTTCTATAAAGATTTACCTCCTTGGAAACCCAAAGGGGGTCTCTATGAGTTGGAATCGACTTGATGGCAGTGAGTTTGGTTTTGTTTTGGTTTATTTAATTAAAGAAAAACATTTTTTGGAGAAAAAGAAACAAAACCTTAGAAATTGAGAGTTGGATGTGTCACTTTTGTTTTGTTCTTGTTGTTTTGGTTTTTAATGATATTGAACAGTTTGTATCTTTATACTGTTAATTTCTACCTCTTAAGTTATTCTCTTTTAGAAAATATTTTGAAACTATAAAAAGTTAATATTATACTAATTTTTATTTTACTGATTTTGAATTGTAAGTTCACTCCCATAATGCCCCCTCATTTCAGACCATATTTGGTTCTACTAAATTCCTAATCTGGATCAATGATGTTCTGGAGTGCACTGTATTTTTTGTAAGACTCTGAAGTAAAATTAAAGTGACTAAAATTTAAAATAAATTTCTTCAAAACCAAATTATTAGAGTCATATAATAAATAACTTTATATAAATCAGTGCAGTTTCATGACCTCTGATTGATAAAATATATTTCAACTTATATATATATATATATATATATATATATATATATATATATATATATATATATATATATATATATATATTTTTTTTTTAGGTATATTTTTGAAAATGTGGAAATTAGTCCATATTTCTATGTTCAGTTTACCAGTTAGACAAACTTATAAAAATATTTATAGTATATTCTAGTAAAAAAAAAAAGTTTCCAGGGAACATCTGAGGTATACAGTAACAAGATTTATCCCCCAAGGGAGATGTGGTTGATGACAGGTAACAGACTCTTTCCAGAGACACTGATCATCGCCACAGGCAAGAAGTGTGCCAATAAATAAGGTTCTGAATCCATGGAGAATCACCTCCCTTATAATAAGAGTAAGATACCCTCTTACATGGTTTTAAGTACTGAACTAGTAGATGGTGCAAACAGTTAACATGCTCATGGCTAACTGAAAGATTGCCTATTCGTGTCTCCCCAGAGGTACCTTGGAAGGCTTGTTGGTCTACTAAGAAATCAGCCATGGAAAACTCTACAGAGCACCATTCTACTCTGACATGTTTGGGGTCACCATGAGTCATTCGATTTAGTAGCAACTGGTTAAATACTGAAGGTGTATTTTTCATAAATTCTCTCACTGAATCGTCCCTATCACCACCACCACCATATTGTTTATACAAAACAGAATCAAAGAGGTCACATAATTTCCCAAGGAACAAGATTTAGCCCTCAAGGGAGATGTGATCTGGATAAGAATCACAACAGAGTCTGCCTGCTTCCTAAACCAGGCTCTTGCCACCTGTGGGTTTTTATAGATTAATTCCAGATCCAACCTACTCATGATAATAAGGTTTCTAATTTAGTACCAACCTTGATTTTCAGTGGTCTAAATGAGTCACAGTCTAGGTATTTGAAGGTCTTCCATATTTTATACTGGGTAGACATGCACATACCTGGGTTGGCAATATGATTAAGATCTTAACTTCTGAATTCAACTTTATAAAGATCATTTGCTTAAATACCTAACTAAATGCTTTTTATGTAGGAAATCACCTTTCCCAAGATGGTGGCCAACTGTTGCCGTTTTCTGTGTTATTTCTGTCGTATAAGTAGGCAGAATCAAAAAGCTATGTTTGATCATCTTAGTTATTTACTGGAAAATAGCAGTGTTGGTCTTGGTAAGTAAATCTTGCCTTTATTTAATCTTTAAGATAAAAGAATATTGTATTGCCTTTAGAAATTGAATTTCACTATAAATTCAATACATATTGCATGTAAAAATTACATTTTAAGAGAAAATATGTTTTTATATAGAATTCTGTAGTTGTAGCACAATCCAAGTTTCGTTTCATCTTTGAATTATCAGCCTCACCAGCTATGAGAGGGTCCACGCCCCTAGATGTGGCTGCAGCCTCAGTGATGGATAATAATGAACTCGCATTAGCTTTGCGTGAGCCAGATCTGGAAAAGGTAAGCACCATTCCTGCACATGAGTTTGTGTGAATTATGCTTGTATGTAGTTGTTTTCAAGGTCATTTAAAAATATACAAATGGTTATTGGCAATTTTGACCCATCCAGAGATGCCCCAGAAGACATCTGCTTCCTAAAGGTCACAGCCTTGAAAAGCCTATGGAGCAGTTCTACTCTGCATACATGGGTTTCCATGAGTCAGAATCGATAACTAAAATCAAAGTTATTAAAAAAAAAAAAAAGTTTGGGATAATGTATTTTGTCTGATAACATTCATTTTTTATGATTTGTGGCTAGGTTATCAACTTACTTGGAGCATTGATGATTTCATGGTAGAATTCTCACCTTCTGTGTGAGAGACTTGAAATCAATTCCTGGCCAATGAACCTCATGTACAGCCACAACTCATCTGTCAGTGGAGGCTTTTGTGTTGCTATGATTCTCAACAGGTTTCAGCATAGCTTCCAGACTAAGATGAACTAAGAAGTAAGGTTGGAAATCTAATTCCAAAGTCAACCAATGAAGACTCAGGATCACCATGGTCTGATCTGAAATCAATCATGGGCATAGGGCTGGATAGGGCAACATTTCATTTAGTTGTTCATAGGGTCACCATGAGTCCAAGGTTGATTCAACAGTAGCTAACAACATCAAATTACTTTATCTATATTCTGGTGTGTTTTTGTCCTATCACGATATCTGCTGCCACATTTATTGTAATGGTACATTTCCATTTCCTGAAAGGTTATTTCAGCATCTCATACACATAGCTCATCTCATTTGTAAGGTTATGTATTGCATACAAGGCACCAGTAACATGCTAAGGCTATTCATACTAAATATATTAAGCCACATATATGTTCACAAGAATATAGATTATTTTCCCTCAATTGTGATTGCAATTGTATTCTAAATCTCCCCCAATCCTACATTTGCTTTCTTAGAGTCTGTTTTGACATTAGCAACCAGAACAATACTCTTAAAATGACCATGTCAGTCATCTACTCAGAACTCTCCAAGACTTCTCACTCAGTAAAAATCAAAGGTATTACAATAGCTTCTATACCATCTGATCCAGTTATCATCTGATTTGATCTCCTACAACTCTTCTGCTCTCTCCCTTTATTCCAGTCATACTCATTCCTTGCTGTTCTTAGAACATACCAGGCATGCTTCTGCCTTCAGGATCTTTGCACTTGCTATTTTCTCTGTCTTCAGTATTTTCCTCCCAGATATTCTCATGGCTCCCTTTCAGACATCCTTCTAGTCATTGTTCAAATGCTACCTGCTTAACAGATCTCCATGTCCACACTATTTAAAATTGAAACCTCTTTCCCCAATCTTTCTTTAAGCTCTTTCTAGCTCTCTGTATTGCTTGATTCTCAATAGTAGAAAAAAAATAGTTTGTTGTTGTTATATTGTGCATATTTTTTTATTTAAGTAAAAAAAAAAGCCCATTTTATTTACATTTTAAATATTTACATTTGAGAAATATATATATACACATACACACGCACATATGTATATATGTATACATATATATCCTAAGGCATTTGACTGCTAACCAGAAGGCTGGTGGTGCAAACCCACCAGCCACTCCTTGGCAGGAAGGTTGGGCACTCTACTTCCATAGTGATAACGCCTCGGAAACCCAAGGAGGGTTCATTATGAGTAGGATCCAACTAAATGGCAGTGGGTGGATCGATATATTTAAAATCTCACCACGATAATTAAAGACCAGTGAAGTCATAATGTTTTGTTCATCTGCTTTATCCCTGTTTTGTAGTATAGCATTAGTACTGCATAGATGCTCAGTAAATGTCTGCTGAAGCCATGAAAGAATGAATTCTTTCCCAAAACATTTTGACAAGCTAGTCACGGGGGATACCAAATCTTTGCATTTCTGATAAACCTGGAGATAATTTCCTCCCATATATTATGTAAAACTTTATATACCAACTAGAAAGACTAAAACTGGGAGTGAAATGGCAATAACAATAGAGCTAGAGATGCAGTGAAGCAACTGTAACTCTATGTATTGCCATAGAGAGTGAAAAATGATACAACTACTTTGGAGAGGAGTTTGGCAATTTCTTAAAATGTTCAACATACATCCAACATATGACCTAGACTTTCAATTCCTATATCTTAATTCAAGAGAAATGAAGATGTATGTTCACACAAAGACATGTACGTGAATGTTTATAGAAGCTTTATTCATAATAGACAAAATTTGAAGCAACTCAAATATCTATTAACTGATTAATGACTAAACAAAATTGAGGTATACCAATATAATGCTATTTGACTATAAAAAGGAATGAGGAACTGACATATGCTACAACACTGATGGATCTCAAAATTGTGCTAAGTAACAGAAGTCAGGCACAGAACTATATGTACTAGATGATTATGTTTATGAAATATTCCAGAAAATGCAAGCTAATTTTACTGGAAAGCAGATCAGTTCTTGTCTGGGCCTAGATGTGTCAGGATATATGGACTGCAGAGACCTTAGGGAACTTGAAGGGTGATAGAACTGTTTTATGTCTTGACAGTGATATATCAAAATTCATTAAATTTATCCTTTAAATGAGTGATTTTATTGTACATAAGTGGCACTCAATAAAATTGGTATAAAATATTTTTAGCTAATATTACACACTACTTTCTCTTTTTAAAAACTTTTTATTGTGATTTGGGTGAAAGTTTACAGAGAAAATAGGTTTTATATCTAACAATTGATATACATTTTGTTTTGTGACATTCATTGCAATCCCCACAATGTAACACTTCCTCCCTGTGTTTACTATTTCCTTTTATCCTTCTTTCCTATCCATTCTTGTCGTCTGAGCTTTATCCCTTGTCCAATACTGCCTTTTTGATCTTAAATGGTTGATTATTCTAAGGAATGTATATATACCTGGTTCACCTTATAGGCCTTGAAATATTTCTAAGGGCCATGATCTTGGGATTCCACCAGTCTCTATCAGCCTAGTCCTTTTTATAAATTTGAGTTTTGTTCTGCATTTTTCTCCCACTGTACTCAGGAACTCCTAATGTGATCCCTTTCAGGGTGGTCAGCAGTGGTAGCTAGGCACTATCTGGTTCTTCTGTCCTCAGTGTTGTAGAGGCTGGGATTTGTGGGGTCCATTTGTCCTTTGGACTAATCATTTCCTTGTGTCTTTGATTTTCTTCACTCTTCCTTGCTCCAGATGGGGAAAGATCAATAGTTGCACCTCATAACTGCCTCATAAGCTGTTAAGACCCCAGTCACGACTCACAAAAATAGAATATTGTCTTTGTGGACTATGTTGTGTCAATTGACCCTGATGTTCCCCGAGACTATAGTCCTGAGCCTGCAGTCCAGTAACTGGTTCCTTCAATGTGTTTGGTTATGGCTAAAAATTTTTCAAAACTGTCTCCTGTAACTATACTCATGGATATATTTGCAGCAAATGTTGAAATATCCTCTGTCAAACTAATGTATGTTAATGGGTGTTGTCACATTCATCTTCCCACACCTGTTCAACCTGCATGTCTATCTATCTATCTACTCATAGATTATTGTTATTACTGTTATTGTAGGATTGTGTATTTAATGGTGTTTACCTTCGTTGCCTTTAACTCTTGTGCTCCTCCCAGTATCTTCTTTTGCCTTACCATTTTGTTCTGAGCACCCCCTTACTGTCTATTGCCTTTCCCTTCCCTCCATTTAGTATTTGTCAAACAGTCCAGTTAAAAAATGGGGCAAGGACATGAACAGACACTTCACCAAAGAAAACATTCAGGTGGCCAGCAAACACACGAAGAAATACTCATGATCATTTGCCCTTACAGAGATTCAAATCAAAACAGTGAGATAACATTTAACCCCAGCATTTATAGCAAAGTTCAGAAACACAGAAAACAACAAATGCTGGTGAGTGTGTGGAGAAATTGGAACCCTCCTGAAATTCTAGTGGGACTGTAACATGCTCCAACCACTGTGAAAAACAGTATGACACTTTTAAAATTTGGAAATAGAAATATAATTTGATCCAGCAATCCCACTACTAGGGATATATCCTAGAGAAAAAAGCATCATGGCATGAATGGATATATGCCCACCCATGTTCATCCCAGTTCATCATCATTCACAATAGGAAAAATATGGAAACAACCTAACTACCTATTAGTGAATGACTGGACAAACTTTGATACATAAATACAATGGAATACTGTACATTGTTAAGGAATAATGATGAAACTGAGAAATACCTCTTAACATAGATGAACCAAGAGGGCATTATACTGAGTGAAATTAGTCAGTCATGAAAGGACAAATATTGTATGAGTCCTCTACTGTAAAAAATCATAGAAAGAAATATTATTTGAAGGTTACTAGCAGTGGGAGAGGAGCCCTGGTAGCATAGTGGCTAAGGCACTTGACTGCTAACCAGAAGGCTGGCGGTTCAAACCCACCAGCCACTCCTCGGAAGGAAGATGGGGCAATCTACTTTCATAATGATACTGCCTCGGAAACCCAAGGAGGTGTCACTATGAGTCAGGTCTGACTCAACAGCACATAACAACAACAACAACAGCAGTGGGAGAGTAAGGGAAGGTAAATTACTCATTTCTTTTTAACACTAATTTAACTTGAGTGGAGTATAAACTCATTTGACAGGTTTTTCCTCTACAGTGTTACCATTAATAAAGACATCTTTAGGAATTTCATTGAAAACTGGACATGTTATGAAATATATTAGAGAAAACCAACATTCACTTAGAACAAAATATCCTAAAAAGCAAAGCTAAGCAAAAATATTCATTATTCTAAATTCCACAGTGCTGACAGGTAGGTGCTATTATCTCAACTTTAATAGAGAAGGAAACCATGGCTCAAAAACTTTAAATAACTGTTCAAAATAATGCATCCAGAGAATGATGGGGGCCAGCTCTCAACCCAGGGATATTTGACTCTAAACTTAAATTTTCTCTATGTCTTTGTTGTGTCTTCTCACTCCACTACCCTCATTAAGTTGATATATCATTATAGGGAACACTTTACCTGTTTAAAATATCTTTATATCTCAGTATCTTAGATGGATTCAGACAGGTTTGGCATTTAGCCAAAGCTCATTAGACATTTTATTTTCTTTTATATTTGTTGTTCTGTTTTACTTATTTGCCATTTCAACATTTTTTATGTGTACAATTCAGTGACATTAATTGCATTTACCATGTTGCAATCATCATTACTATCTGTTTCTAAATTTTTCCTATCACACAGTGTCTCCTAATCAGTAACTCTTCTTTTCTTACCCCTGCTCCCCCACTGTTTGTAGCCACCAATAAATTTAGGTCTCTATATACCGGGAGCTGGGGTAGCATAGTGGCTAAGACACTTGCCTGCTAACCAGACGGCTGGCGATTCAAACCCACCAGCCACTCCTCGGAAGGAAGGTTGGGCAATCCTACTTCCGTAGTGATACTGCCTCAGAAACCCAAGGAGGGGTCGCTATGAGTCGGGTTTGACTCGACAGCACATAACAACAACAACAACAATATACTTACCTGGAGCTCTGGTAACATAGCACCTAAGCCAGTTGACCATTAACCAGAAGGCTGGCAGTTCAAACCCACCAGCCACGCCTCGGAAGGAAGGTTGGGCAATCTACTTCTGTAGTGATATCGCCTCGGAAACCCAAGGAAGGGTCTCTATGAGTTGGGTCCAACTCTACTGCAAACAACAACAACAACATATACTTACCTATTTTTGATAGTTCATAGTAGTGCAATCTTTTTGTGTCTAACTTACTTCACTACGTATGATGTTTTCAAACTTCATCCATCTGTAGCATGTATCAGAACTTCACTTCTCTTTGTGACTGATATTGGTTAATAGTTTATTCCATTGTACATATATGCCACATTTTTATCCATTCATCTGTTGATAGGGATTTGTGTGGTATCCATTTTTTTGCTATTGTGAATAGAACTGCAGTGACCATTGGTTACACGTATCTGTTTTTGTCCCTGCTTTCAAGATGTAAGAGTGGAATTGTTGGACGCTAGACATTTTTGAAGTTCATCAAAAGATATTATTACTTTGTTAGGAAAAAAAAAAAAAGAATGAAAGAAAGAAACTCACTGCCATCAAGTTGATTCTGACTCATAGCAACCCCCTTTGGGTTTCTGATATGGTAAATCTTTACTGAAGTAGATTGTCAAGCCTTCCTTCTGCAGAGTGGCTGGTGAATGAACCAACAACCTTCAGGTTGGCAGTCAGACACTTCAGGCACTATGCCACCAGAGCTCCTTGTTAGTAAGAATCTCAAATTAAATTATAATGAAATTCAGAAATCATTTTCTTTCATAGAGTTGGTTCATAAGTATTTTTATTATGATGACACCTTGCTTAAATATTTCTAAATTAAGATTTTACTAAAAGGACTTCATGTGGATTATTATGATAGTAGAAGAAAAAATTTAATTTGCCAAAATGTGTTTCTTTTAAAGCATCCTTTGAGAATATAATTTATCTTATTAATGTAAGCATCTAATACATTTTCTTCCAATGGTTAACTCTTGCTTGTCATGTTGTTTGTAGGTAGTTCGATATTTGGCTGGTTGTGGACTGCAAAGTTGCCAGATGCTGGTATCTAAGGGATATCCAGACATTGGGTGGAATCCTGTCGAAGGAGAGAGATATCTTGATTTTCTCCGCTTTGCTGTCTTTTGTAATGGTATGACTTGATTTCTTGGGATTTTTTTTGATTTATTAAAACTACATGAAATTAAGTGTATTAAATAAGGAATCATCTCACTATTTTCATAAGGAAGTGAAAATTTAGTAAAGAAACAATATTTTCTAATCAGCTTTTTCACAGTAATAATTTATTTTACAATATTTATTTTTGTGGTGATGCCATACTTAATTAAATTAAAATATTTAGACACCTAAATTCTTATAAATTTTTGTAATTGAATTTGAATGATAGCAATGATTATGGCCTTATTCCCCATAACAAATTAATGAGTTTATGCCTCTGCAACATTTTTCTTTACTCGGAAAATTTTAAGTGCAAAAAGAGAAATTTGCTGTCTAATTTGTATTAAATTTTGATTTTGGTACTAATTTTCTGGGTTTAGTTTTGGTTTTGTTTTTTAACAACATTAGATTATAATAAATATTTACTCCATGTAATCAGTATTTGTTTATATGTGTTCCCCATTTGATTGTAGGGGAGAGTGTGGAAGAGAATGCAAATGTCGTGGTCAGATTACTTATTCGGAGACCTGAGTGTTTTGGCCCCGCTTTGCGAGGGGAAGGTGGAAATGGTCTCCTCTCAGCCATGGAAGAAGCCATAAAGATAGCTGAGGATCCATCCAGAGATGGTCCCTCACCCACAAGTGGATCCAGTAAAACACTGTAGGTGTAATATATACCCCCTCAAGAGTGAATTATAGTACCTGACTTGAAATTTTTATAAAACATAATTGGCATTCTATTCATTGCAAAGTAATTCTCAGTTATGCAAGTAATGTTGTATGGATTTAGTAGAGAGACATTTTGGTTTTAGGAGGAGCTATATTTTACAAATTTTCCCAGGAGGCATGTCAAAGTGAATAATCACAAATGATGGGAGGTAAGTTAGGAATTAGAGTAGAGCATCCTTTCATCCTCTTTTCTGGAATCCCCCGTGTTGTTCTAAGTGTGAGGAATAAAGTTCTTGGTTAAGGTTTTGATGACAGATAGAGGAAGCAGTCATGAACTCACATTTCTACGTACTATCTGTTGTTAATACTTAGTGTCATTTTAGGCATGTCAGTTACTGAGTCTTCAGATTTTTTTTTTTCTTAAATTTCTGGAGCTGAGTGTCTTACAAGGCGATCATGAGACCACTCCACTAACCACTGTCACAGATATGATATAGGCCTTATTGGGGGAAACTTTCAAATTTTCAAGCAGAGAAGTAGCAGAAGTCATACAGTCCTGCCGACCCTTATTCTTCCACATACAGATGGAGCATAGAGGTTCTGCACACACCGTGGCTGGGATACTTGTCTGGGGGCACTCCAAGAGCAAGAATAAGCCCATCCCTACCCCTGTAAGATATACGTTCATTAGCCAAAGAGTAGCTAAGGAACCTTTCATTTCTCTAAGGAGTAAAAACTATACCAAGAGATCTCTGACCTAGGACCACACCACACCTGAGAACAACTATACATGAAAACATGAAGATGTCACCCAAGCTCTCACTATCACTCTGAGACTGCTGAGTCCAATGAAGTTAGCCCTCCACTAAGCTACCAAAGAAGAAAGGACAAGCATCTCCACGGTCATCCAGACTTATCTCATCAAAGAGATGATAAAATATTTATATTGATATCAGAGAGGTGGCATCTTAGTTACAATCCTAGTTATCTAGTTCCGCTATAACAGAAATACCAACAGTGGATAGCTTTAACAAACACATTTATCTTCTCACAGTTTAGGAGTCTAGAAGTCTGAATTCAGGGTGCTGGCTCTAAGGAGAAGGCTTTTTTTTCTCCTTTGGCTCTGGTGAAAGATTCTTGTCTCTTCAGCTTCTGCTTTATGGTTCCTTGGAGATCTCTATGTATCTTGGCATCTATCTTACCCCATTTCTGTTTTTTTTTCTTGCTTATTTAATCACTTTTATATGTCAAAAAGATGATTCAGTCCATATCTTACATTAATCCTGTCTTACTAACATAACAAAGACAACCCATTTCTAAATGGTATTATAACCACAGGCATAGAATTTACAATACAATTCAGTCTATAACAGTTACCTAATGTTGTCATAACAAAGAAGAGACCAGAAGTGGGTGAAATTAAAGAGTAGATATTTCTTCTGTCACTGTTCTGGAAGATAAAAGTTCAACTCAAACTCTCAGATACCAATTCCTTCTATGAGCTTCTGTCCTACTTTCTGGTGTCTGCTGGCAAACCTTGGCGTTCCTTTGCTGCTTATAAATGCCTGTGTGGAAACTTCCTCTCCCTCTGTGTATCTATTTTCCCTTTTTATAAGGTAGCACTAAGAAGTGATTAGGTTTAGGATCCACCCTGTTCCAATATGACATATTAATATGATAAATGCAAAACCCTTATTTCAAGCAGAGGTACAAGGATTTTAGTGTATTTTAATTTAATTTAATCCATGACAGATGGGAAGAGAGACATGTTGGATTTGGGGGAGATTTGGGGTAGGATAGGTGGTATAGAGATAGGTGAACAAATGAAACAACATTTATAAAGTACAAGTATCCCCAGATTTGCAAAAGTTCCCTTTACGCCACTTTGCTTTATGAGATACCTACATTATTACCGGATTTTGCTAACTGAAAGAAATAGAAAGAAGATTTTTACTGTTATGAAGTGGAACTAGTGTTGAGTGTTTATTTTCCAGCGAGCCATTAATGGGGCAGTACGCACCCAGAGCAGTGAGAGTGGCATTACCCAACTCCTTCCCCGGGAACTAAACTCAGCATCAAGCTGCCATAGCTTTGAAATGCGTGTGTATGAACACTATATGTACATGTTATTTTAAGGTTTTTGTGTTATTTCATATGATTTGATAAGTTTTTTTTTTTTTAGATCTGGAAATGCTCAAAATTTTTTCCCATCATAAATTAATGGTAATTGCTTCTTTATGACATTTGGCTTACGAAAAATTTCATAGGAACTCTCTGCTTTCAGATATCGGGGGAAACCTGTACTATAAAATACTAACACCCTTTTTATAATATATCAAATTAGTAATTGTTCTTCCTTTTTGAAGAAATCTTAATTATGAAATTCCCACAAATGTGTTTATTGTGATAGAATGTCAGATCTCATCTTTAAATCATTGTGATTTTCTTTTAAATGTGCCAAGATGTAAATAAAAATCATATATGAAAACTATAAGGAAAAAAAATGAATATTTTAGTGGCCCCTATCTTCTGATAGGTATGTAATAGACCTAAAAGATCACTTTATGATCCTGTTTACTTTTCATTTCTTTGAAAAATTTACAAAAGTGATACCGAAGAAGAGGAAGATGACACCATCCACATGGGGAATGCAATCATGACCTTTTATGCAGCATTGATTGACCTGTTGGGACGCTGTGCACCTGAGATGCATGTAAGTGTCTTGATGCATAGGAGGAGCAATCTTGACTTAACATTTTGTGCTGAGACATTGGTAGCTGGCAGGCACCACAAAAGCACTCAAAGCCAGCAATCTTCATACTCCATTAGAAGTAATAGCCCAGTCCTAATTGCTCAACAAGCGTTTGCTTAATTGAATGTCTTACTGGTTGTAAAAATTAGTAATGAGATATCAGTACAAGTCATTGATAGGATAGTTATTTATTTCTAAATTCCTAAAACTTTATAGGAGCCCTTGTGGTACAGTGGTTAAACATTTGACTGCTTACTAAAAGGTCAGCAGTTTGAACCCACCAGTGCCTCCCCAGAAGAAAAGACCTGGCGATCTACTCTCATAGAAATTACAGACTAGAAAACCCTATGCAACAATTCTGCTCTATCCTATAGGGTCACTATGCTTCTCAATTGATTCAATGGCAAATACCAACAAAGCTAATATAACCTCCCTATACTTTAAGAAGGAAAAAAAATCCTGTTTACCCTATATAATTCCCTCTCCTATTTTAGTGCCCACAAAAAGCAACCATTGCTACCAACGCAAGTTTTCTTTATATACAATATCATGTCCCTGTAAACAAGCTACTATATGGTTGCCATTGATTTGAGAGAAAGGTAGGGGAAGAGGGACATAATGAGGAAGGAAAGAGTTCTTCAATGTAAATCAGTTTCTAAGTTTTTTGATAAGATGACATTAAAAATTTGTGAAGTAGTACTTATTTTTACCTGTAATACCCTTTCATATTTTCTGTTATGTTGTTGTTGTTATTTTTCATTGAGTCGGCCCCGACTCCTAGCGACCCCTCCTTGGGTTTCCGAGGCAGTTATCACTACGGAAGTAGGATTGCCCAACCTTCCTTCCGAGGATTGGCTGGTGGGTTTGAACTGCCAGCCTCCTGGTTTAGCAGTCAAGTGGCTTAGGCACTATGCTACCAGAGCTCCTTTAATATTTTCTACAGTATTTTAATTTATTCTGTTTTGTTTTAATGTATTCATTTAAAAATGCTAAGCAAGGCTCATAAAATTGGTTTCATGACCTGTTAATGGGAAACAACCCAGAGATAGAATCACATTGGTCAGTGCTGGGTAGAAGGTTATGAAATGCAGATATGCTTCTGCACTGGTGTAAGCATGAAGTCAGGAGAACTGTTACTTATGGATCCCCTCTTTCTCCCACCATTTACACTCTTTGTGAACAGAGAAGAATCACTAAGAATGGAGAAATGCTAGAACACCTCCTGTCCAATTTTTGCAAAAACCTAACTTAAATGTTAATGTGACTTTCTTCTGAGTAAATGGGAATGGAATAATAATAATTATAATAACACTTGTATACTACAGGTGATCACGGATAAAAAAAGAAACAACTTTCTGCTTACAGTGTTTCCTCCTTTTCTTATGAAAATGAAAAGGCCAGAGGAACGGAGAAAAAAATTAAGTTAATAGAAATTTTGTTCTATTTTCATTTCTGTATTTAGGTGGAAAACAAAAAAACTAAGTAAATTCATAAAGGACAACCTTGGCACATCTTATTAATCTCCAACAACTGTTATTTTAGAAATTGAGCTTGTGGTTTGCATCCAGTGGTGGAAGAAACAGACACCTGTCCTGCTGTCTGGGAATCTGAGGGTGTTAAAGACACACATTGAGAGTCTTGATTTTATCATAATCCATAATAAAAAAATCAAATTCACTGCCATTGTGTCAATTCCCAATTCTTAGTGACCCTCTTTTTGTTTTCCCAGGCATTGGATCTTTACAGAAGTAAATTGCCCCATCTTCCTTCCGTGGCGCACCTGATGGGTTTAGAACTGCCAACCTCTGGTTAGCAGTTAAGTGCCTAAGGCACCACACTACCAGAACTCCTTGTACTTGTGTATAATATAGTATGGAGTACAAAGTACAGCACAGTATAGTCATTATAGTTATTGTATTAGCCAGTGACATTCTAAAAGGACTGTTAGGATTTATGTTGACCATTTTCCCCACACATTTTAAACCTATTCTTTGGAGAAATCCAGTGGAATATAGATAGACATACAATTAAATTCTTACCACAAAGCAAGAAGGAAGCTAAATAAGTTGCAAATATTAGTATATGTTTAAGGTCTAAAGGTAATTGTTTTTCCTTGGATTATTATTTGTTCTTTCTTTGAATTTGGTTTTGCTGAAGATGATTCTGAATTATTATGAAATGATTTAGTTATTCTTTGTGGGTCTTAGCTTTGCATATGACTTTATATATATATGAGAAGAAAAATTGCTAACCTGCCATTCAAAGAATGTGATTTTATGATTTTCTCCAACTTCTGTGTGAAGCAGAAATTTCTACTCACAGGTCCTTTCCCTAATTCTTAACTGCTAGTTTTTTGTTTTTTATTTTTTGGTATAGGACTTTTTTTTTTTTTTATTTGGATGAAGATTTACAGAGCAAATTCACTTTCCATACAGCAGTTCACATATACTTTGTCTCATGTCATTGACCACAGTTTACCACAATGCAACAGCTCCCCTCCCACTTCCTCCCATAGTTACCTCTTCCCAGTGTCCATCCCTCCATACTCTCCTGCCCCCTGAGCTGTATCCCTGTGCATAAGCAGCCCTTCCTTCTCCCATAATTGTTCTCTCCAGGGCGTGTGTCTACTTGAGGTAAATATTTAACTCACGTGTCTGTACTTTGTTTAGTTTTTAAGGAAAAATAAATTAATGTTTTTTTTTTTTTTAATTCAACTTGAGAAGTATTTTCAAGAAAAATTTTTTTATTTTATTATGTACATCCTTGATTAATAAAGATATCAAATCCATTTTTACCCTCACAGTAATCAGACAGGTGCTTTGGTAGCATAGTGCTTAAGGCATTTGACTACTAACCAGAAGGCTGTGGGTTCAAACCCACCACCCTCTCCTCAGAAGGAAGTTTGGACAATCTACTTCCATAGTGATACCACCTCAGAAACCCAAGGAAGGGTTGCTATGAGTTGGGTTGACTCAAAGACAGTGAGTTTTAGAGTTAGTATTCAAATGTCATCTGTATAAAATACTAAATTTTCTCATATCTGGGTCTTTTGCTGAGGTTTTTTATTGTTATTTTCTATTGATCTTCTTGTTTATTTCTAATCAGTAACTCTTTGATTATTGTGAATTTATATCATGATTAAATAACTAGTAGAGCTTAGTGTTCCACTTGATGCATAGAATATTTCACTATATGACATATAAAAATTTGAAGCACTTTTTACAATGTACTGAAGTTAAGTACCTTCTAGGAAACCACATAGATAACTTTACTATCAGCATCAGGTTCTACTTGGATTCTTAAACAGAGGCTCATATTATATACTGGTATTTATATGTAATTTCTTGAGGTAAGTGCTGATAGTCTAATCCGAGTTTCAGTATGTTTTAACACTTCAAAGAGGCTATAGTATAATTCAGTTTATGCTGAAGTCAGGGCAAGTAAGTATCTGCCTGTAAGCCTGAAAGAACAATTTCTAAAAGAGGTCTAATTTTATGTTTACGTAACAGAAAATTATTTTAGGCTCAGGTTCCTGTGATTCACATTTTGTGCATGTAAGTATAGCACTGATTCTACAAAGTAATTTTAATTTTCCTTTATTTTCTTCTCGTTTAGTTGATTCATGCTGGTAAGGGAGAAGCCATTAGGATCAGGTCTATTTTGAGATCCTTAATTCCACTGGGAGATTTGGTAGGCGTAATTAGCATTGCTTTTCAGATGCCAACTATAGCCAAAGGTAAGACCCTCTTCTATTCTTTGTAATTCAGTGCTAGGTTGGATGACATGATGTTTTAAATAAAATTATCAGTACTCAAGATTTCTCCTTGTGCAGCACAGGTACCCTATGTAATTTTCTTTCTTTCTTTCTTTTAAATACTCTATAAAGTGTATCATTTTATAAAATATTTTCTGTTCTCATTGGCGTTTTTAAATAGCCAACTTTACATTGAGCTTTTGATTATTTTTTTTTTAATGTGGCATTTCTGACACTTCAGATAAGAGAAAATATGTCCCTGAACTGGTTCATGTCATTTCCCTTCTCATGTTCTTTGGTCTTCTTTCTCCTCTCTCTTTCATAACCTCAATTCCTTACTTTACTCCTTTTGTCAATTTTCAGTGTCACTCTTTTATAATGCTTTTCTTTCCAAAACAATAATTTTTGCTTTTGGCTTAGAGATTTACAAATTCCAAGCATGTTGAAAAAACTGTTCTTTTCAAGATGAAAGAAATAATTTTAAAAAGATGTACATGATTATTGAAAACATTTGAAAGATTTGTTAGATCCCAAATTATGCCTTGTTTTTATTTTTCCAAATTTCAGTATTGTTTACTTTTCAATACTTTATTGGGTATTAGATTATTTTTATGCAGACCTCTAATTTTAGAAAAAACAAATTTAGGTAAAATATGCATGTTATAATTCTTTTCATTTATTAATTATAATCCAGAGAAGGCTAGCTTGTAATACTTCAGGTCTAGAACCTAGATCTCACTGTGTACCTGACTTGTAAGCCATATGATTATGAAAAAGGAAAATCTCATATGTACTAATATCACAAACCCTACTCAGGCTGGTAGATGAGCCAGGCATGGCAGGTGGATATTAGAGTGGCTGGAGCAAGCCAGGTAGGCCAGCCAGGCATGGAGGGTGGGTGTTAGAGTGGCTGAGACAGGCCAGGTAGGTGAGCCAGGTGCAGTGGGCGTGTGTTGGAGCAGCTAAGAGAGAGTGGTGGTTTGGAGCAGTTAAGGGAGGAAGTGAGCAGAGTGGTTTGGAACAACTAAAAGAGACAAACTTGTCTGTCATTTTGTTGTATTATGGTGGCTTGCTTGTTGCTGTGAGGCTGGAGGCTATGCCACTAGTGTTTGAAATGCCAGCAGGGTTATCCATGATGGACAGGTTTCAGTGGAGCTTCCAGACTAAGACAGATTCAGAAGAAGTAACAGGCTATCCACTTCTCAAAGAATTTTCCAGTGACAGCTTTATGAATAGCAGTGAAACACTGTTTGGTATATTACTGGAAAACGTTATGAATAGCCCTGAAACATTGTGCAATATAATGCCAGAAGATGAGCCCCTCAGGTTGGAAGGCACTCAAAATACAACTGGAGAAGAGCTGCCTCCTCAGAGTAGAGCTGACCTTAGTGATGTGGATAGAGTAAAGCTTTTGGAACCCCCATTTGCTGATGTGCCATGTCTCAAGATGAGAAGAAACAGCTGCAAATATCCATTAATAATTGGAACATGGAATGTACAAAATATGAACCTTGGAAAATTGGAAGTTGTCAAAAATGAAATGGAACACATGAAGATTGATATCCCAGGCATTAGTGAGCTGAAATGGACTGGTTTTGGCCTTTTGAATCAGATGATCATGTGATCTAGTATAATGGGAATGACAAATTGAAGAATGGTGTGGCATTCATCATCACATAGAGTGCATCAAGATCTGTCCTGAAGTACAATGCTGTTAGTGATGGGATAATATCCATACATTTTTGAGGAAAACCAGTTAATACTACTAATATTCAAATTTACACACCAACCACCAAAGCCAAAGATGAAGAAATTGAAGATTTTTACCAACTTCTGCAGTTTGAAATTGACTGAACATGCAATCAAGATGTGTTAATTATCACTAGTGACTGGAACACAAAAGTTGAAAACAAAGAGGAATCACCGGTAGTTAGAAAATATGGCCTTGGTGATAGAAATTATGCTGGAGAGTGCATGTTAGAATTTTGCAAGACCAATGACTTATTCATTGCAAATACCTTTTTTCAACAACACAAACAGCGGCAATATACATGTACTTCACCAGACAGAGTAAACAGTAATCAGATTGACTACATTTGTGGCAAGAGACAATGGAGAAGCTCAATACCTTCAGCCAAAAGAAAGCCAGGACCTGATTGTGGAACAGATTATCAACTCCTCATATGCAAATTCAAGTTTAAGCTGAAGACAATTCAAAGAAGTCTATGAGAGCCAAAATATGACCTTGAATATATCCCTCCTAAATTTAGAGACTATCTAAAGAATAGATTTGATCCATTGAATACCAGTGACTGAAAACCACAGGAGTTGTGGGATGACATCAAGAACATCATCCATTAAGAAAGCAAAAGGTCATGAAGAAGACAGGAAAGGAAGAAAAGACCAAAATGGATGTCAGCAGAGACTCTGAATCTTGCCCTTGAACAGAGAGTAGATAAAACAAATGGAAGAAATAACAAGATAAAATAGCTGAACAGAAGATTTCAAAAAGCAGACCAAGAAGACATAGTCAATTATTATAATGAAATGTGCAAAGACCTGGAGTTAGAAAACCAAAACGGAAGAACATGTTTGACATTCCTCTAGCTAAAAGAACTGAAGAAAAAAAAATTAAGCCTTGAGATACAATATTGAAAGATTCTATGGGCAAAATATTGAATGATATAGGAAACATCAAAAGAAAATGGAAGGAGTACATGGAGTCACTGCACCAAAAAGAATTGGTTGATGTTCATCCATTTCAGAAAGTGGCTTATGAGCAAGAACCAATGGTATTGAAGGAAGAAGTTGAAGCTGCACTGAAGGAATTGGTGAAAAGCAAGTCTCCAGGAATTGATGGAATACCCCCTGTGATGTTTCAACAAATGGATGCCCTGCTGGAGACACTCACTCAGCTATGCCAAGAGATTTGGAAGACAGATACCTGGCCAACTGCCTGGAAGGGATTCATATTTGTACCCATTGAAAAGAAAGGTGATCCCACAGAATGTGGAAATTATAAAGAACAGTATCATTAATATCACACACAAGTAAAATTCAAAAACAGTTGCAGCAGTATATTGATAGAGAACTTCTAAAACACAAGCTGGATTCAGAAGAGGGTGGGGTGTGGAATGGGGGATATCATAACTGATGTTAGATGGATCTCAACTTAAAGCAAAGAATTCCAGAAAGATGTTTACTTGTCTTTTATTTACTATGCAAAAGCATTCTATTGTGTAGATCACAACAAATTATGGATAACATTGAGAAGAATGGGAATTCCAGAATACTTACTTGTAGTCATGAGGCATCTGTACATAGAGCAAGAGGCTGTCATTTGAGCAGAACAAAGGGATACTTCATGATTTAAAATCAGGAAGGGAGTGTGTCAGAGTTTTATCCCTCACCATACTTATTCAATCTGTATGCTGAACAAATAATCCAAGACCTGGACTATATGAAAAAGAACATGGCATGAGGATTAGAGGAAGACTCATTAACAACCTGTGCTATGCAAATGGCACAACTTTGCTTGGTGAAAAGTGAGGATGACTTGAAGCACTGACTAGAAGACAAGGGAAGCAGCAGTCAGGAAATCAGATGACATATTGCACTGGGCAAATCTGCTGCAAAAGACCTCTTCGAAGTGCTGAAGAGCAAAGATGTTTCTTTGTTGACTAAGGTGCACCTAACCCAAGTCATGGTGTTTTCAGTCAACTCATATGCATGTAATCTGAACAGTGAATAAGGAAGACCAAGGAAGAGTTGATGCTTTTGAGTTGTGGTATTGTTGAAGTGTAGTGAAAGTGTCATGGACTGCCAGAAGAACTAACAATTCTGTCCGGGAAGAAGTACAGCCAGAATCCTTCTTGGAAGCGAGAATGCTTATACTTTGTCTCACCTTCTTTGGCCATGTTGCCAGAAGGGACCATTCCCTGTAGAAAAATAGCATGCTTGGTAAAATGGTGGGTCAGCAAAAAAGGGGAAGGCCCTTAACAAGGTGGATTGACACCATGGCTGCAAATGATGGGCTCAGGTACAGCAAGGAGTGTGAGGGTGGTTCAGGACCAGACAATGTTTCATTCTGTTGTACATATTGTCACTATGAGTCAGAGCAGACTTATTGTCACATAACAACAGCAACTAGATAGATAGACAGATAGATAGATAGGTAGGTAGGTAGGTAGGTAGATAGATTCTTTTGAATTCTTTATTATGTCTTTCTATTGGGTGGGGAAGGGAAAGAAAAGAAAAACTAATTAAGGGTGTTGGATGAGAAGAAAGATGAGTAAAAATAGAAGAAGACAAGGAAGAGGGGAAAATAAATTAAAAGGAAGAAAAAGTGTAAAAAGGAGAATAAAAGTGAAAGATCTTATAGTCTTAGGAAGCCTGGGGTACAGTTATGGTCAACCAGCAGCAGTGACAGCAGGGGGCTATGAAACTATTCCTGGGAAATTTGCCCACAGAGGAGGCAAGATCCTGGTGAGCATGAGCACCTCCAACTGAGGAGGCTGCAGTGATACCCATCTTGCATTCAGTGGGAGGAAACCCTGTCAGTGACACAGGCTTAGGGAAGCAGAGCTGCAGAGACTAGCTCTGTAGCTTGGGGCATGGTGCAATGTGTGGCTGAGCTGCTGGTGTGAGGAAGTGGTCTGATGAACCAGGTGGGTGTGGGCCACTGGTGGCCATCCTAGCCACCAGATTGTTTGGCGAGGGAAAGGGCTCATCCTTTGTCACGAGAAGGTGTGGTTGGGAAAGTAAAGAACAGACTTCTGCAGTCACAATTCATTGGCATGGGCCCAATGCACTTCTGAACATTTGCAACTGATCGTCCAGCCCCTGCCCAGATTCTATCAGGTGGTAGGCCACCCAGAGTCCATCATTTCCAACTGCCACCTCAGAGACTTTCCCTTTCACGTGAGCTCTCAACACAAACAACTAATTTCACTAGTAATGACTTGTTTCATCTCCCTTCACTAGCTCTCTTCTTGCTCTGTGGTCACATTTGCCACTGGAAATCTCACCCATTTCCTTGCAGTTTCTTCTTCAATATCCAGTGCATATTCTACTCACCTTTTTTCCCCTCTAGATCTGTCCATGCTGTACCTCTGTCCCAGTGTGGATTCGATGAAGTTTGTTTTTTCTTGCCTGTGTATGATGCATTCTTTGTCTCAAAATGGCTACAATTTGTTGGGCCCCAGCTTCTTCTCTGTCCCAGTCACCTTCACTCCATCAACACTCAATCTAATTCTTTATTCTCTCATTTGATGCTCAGAGTTCCAGGATTATTATCTGTATCTGTTTCACCAAATTTTTCTTTGTCTTTCTTATAGAGGGATTGTGTGGAGTATGTCAACAGAACACCATTTTACCTCTGTCTCTTGCTTTTTCACACTTTAAAGAGGTCATTTCCAATAAATTTGGCCAATGCAATACATCATTTGGTTTCTCGATGGCTGCTTACGTGGGCATTGATTGTGGATCCACATAAAAGAAAATCCTTGAGAACTTCAATTGTTTTTTTGTTTATCCTGATGTTTCTTATTGGTCCATTTGTGAGGGTTTTTGTTTTCTTTATATTTATTTTAAGGTAGAATCCATAATAAAGGCTTTTACCTTCATCAGTAAGTGCTTGAAGTCTGTTTTGCTTTCAGCAAGCAAGGTTGTGTCATCTGCATACTGCAGATTGTTAATGAGTCTTTTTCCAAAGCTGATGCCACTTTCTTCTTCATATAGTCCAGCTTCTTGGATTATTTGCTCAGCATACAGACTGAATACATTTGGTAAAAGATACAATCTTGATGCACATTTGTCCTGCTTTTAAACCATGCAGCATTCCCTTGTTCTGTTCAAGCAACCACTTCTTGGTCTATGTACATATTCCATGTAAGCACAATTAACTCCTCTGGAATTCCCATTCTTCACAATGTTATCCATAATTTGGCATGATCCAGTAGAATGCCTTTGCATAGTCAAGAAAACACAGGTAAACAGCTCCCTGGTATTCTTTGCTCTCAGCCTAGATCCATTTGACATCAGTAATGCCCCATTACATCAGTAATGACCATAATGTCCTTTGTTCTACCTCCCCTTCTGAATCGAGCTTTAATTTCTGGTAGTTCCCTGCTGATGTACTGCTGTAATCATTTTTTAATTATCTTCAGCAAAATTTTACTTACAATTGAAATTAATTATAATGTTCAATAATTTCCACATTCCATTGGATCAGTTTCTTTGCAATAGACATGTATTTGAATTTTTGCAGCCAGTTGTTCAGATGGTTGTCTTCCACATTGCTTGACATAGACAAGTGACTGCTTCCAGCATTGCATCTGTTTGTGGAAATACTTTAATTGGCATTCCATTGATTCCTGGAACCTTGTTTTTGCCAATTCCTTCAGTGCAGCTTAGACTTTTTCCTTCAGTATGATCATCTTGATCATATACTACCTCCTGAAATGGTTGAACCTTCACCAATTCTTTTGGTATTCTGTGTATCCATTCCATCTTCTTTTGATGCGTCCTTCATTATTCAAATATTTGCTCATAGAATCCTTCATTATTTCAATTTGGGGCTTGACTTTTTCTCCAGTTCCTTCAGCTAGAAAAATACTTAATGTGTTCTTACCTTTTGGTTTCTTTACACCAGACCTTTGCACATTTCAGTATAATACTTTATCTTCTTGAGTCAACCTCTGAAATCTTCTGTTCACCTGTTTTACTTCATTTTTTCCTTTTGTTTTAACTATTCCATGTTAAAGAGCAAATATCAGACTTTCTTTTGATATCCACTTTGGTCTTTTTTTCTTTTTTCCTGCCTTTTGTTTCTGAACCCAATTTTAGGTTTAAATATAACCTTAGGTGAATTAAATCCAACCTTGCCAATTACAAAGTATATGACCTTGGACAAGTTATTTAACTTCTCTGACGTTTAATGTTCATCGCCCATTAAATGGGGCTAGTAACATTGACGATAATGTGATTGTGAGAATGATAGGAGACCACATTTATAGTACTCCTAACACAGTTCATGACAACAGTGCAAACAGAGCTATCCTTCTTTGTAAAATTATAAGGAAAGGAAGATGTTCAGCATACTAAAGCTTTTAATATTATATCCTCTATGATATTGATATTTGTTCATTTTCACATTTCAAATAGAAAAAATATATCTATTCATTGACTATAAGTTAAAACAGAGAAGTAGTCACTTTACTCTCTCATGATGATTAGGATCATGTATCGTCTTTCGGGGTTTCTTTCTTCAATGTTGCCTTAATATTAAATACTCTATGGTATTATTAATAAAATTTATAAATTTTATTTATACAAAACATTTTGACATAGTTATTATATGTGCAAATAGGAAATAAATTAGTTCTCCAATATTTCAAATTGGTACATAAAATTCCATAACTTCTTGTATCAGTTGTACCCAAACTCTGAATGAAGCTATGGAGTTATTCTAAGGTGTTCACTAATCTACGTGTGTACCAATCATGCAGTATTGATAGAGAAAATAATATGACTCTCAAATACGTTCTATATGTTGTTAAACACTGTGATGATCAGTTGAATACATTTTGTTCAATTGATCATCATAAAATCACTGTCTTAGGTTTGCTTAGTAAATAGAACCAGTAAGATATATAGAGATAGAGATTTATTTTCAGGAATTGGCTCATATGGTAATGCTGTTGTTGTTGCTATGTGCCGTCAAATCAGACCTGACTCATAATGGCCCCTCCTTGGGTTTCCAAGGCAGTGTCACTGCGGAAGTAGATTGCCCCATCTTCCTTCCAAGGAGTGGCTGGTGGGTTTGAACTGCCAGCCTTCTGGTATAGGGCCTAACAAATTCAAACTCTGTAGGTCAGAGGACAGGTTGGAGATTCCTACAGTCTTATCAGGTAGGTGACAGGGAGAATTCTGGCAAGATGTCTATTTTTAGATTATAGGCAGAATACCCTTTTGGTTCAGAGGCCTTCACCTAGGGTGGGTGACCTGCCTTAGGTAAGATCAACTGATTATATCACATGTATCTACTTCATTTAAAGCATCTAGGATAGTGTATGGCCCAACAACTGGGCACAGCCTAGCCAAGTTAACACATAGCCATACTGGTTTCACAGTATTATCATTTTATATTTTTCTAAGTCATGAGTATCTAAATGAATCATAATTGTCATATAGGGGTACATAAGATTTATTGGATGAGAAGACTGGAAAGATTAAAAATCCCTCCTTTAACTTTTTAAGTGTTTACTTCTGGATTTACAATGTGGATTTTGGTTCTTTTTGTTTTGTTTTGTTTCCTTCTCAGCATGTAGTCAAACACTATGTCCTTGCCATGTATTCAGGTAACAAATGGGTGATCACATAACATTTTAAGTGACCTTGAATTTAAATTGCATTGTTTTCTCAGCCAATTCCCAGCTGTTTATGGGTAGTAATAAGAACAGAAAATAATTCCATTGATAACTTTATTTAAAAAATATTTTGTAATATCAGATCATTGTTGCCATGGCCTTTGATACAAAAATGTTACCTTCTCTCTTTTAGATGGGAATGTGGTGGAGCCTGACATGTCTGCGGGGTTTTGCCCAGATCACAAGGCAGCCATGGTTTTGTTCCTTGACAGGGTCTATGGGATTGAGGTTCAAGATTTCCTCCTCCATCTTCTTGAGGTTGGCTTTCTGCCAGATCTGCGGGCTGCTGCCTCTTTAGATACGGTAATGATTTTAACAATTGACTTCCTTAGTTTTTGACTCTTGAGGCTATGGCTTCATAGTTATTCATTCATTCTTTCATTCATTCATCAGCATACATTTATTGAGTACCTACTATGTTTTCAGACAAGTATTAGGAAACAGAGAGAGAGAGAAAACAGACTATGACCTTAAGAATTCACTAAATATTGGGGGAAATAGAGTATAATAAGAATTCTAATAATGGTAGACAAAAAGAAGTCCATATAACCCTAATTTGGGAAGTCACAGCAATTCCTATTAACCTATGTTTAATGTGAATTTGAGGAGCTCTGGTAGCATAGTGGCTAAGTCACTTGCCTGCTAACCAGACGGCTGGCGGTTCAAACCCACCAGCCACTCCTCGGAAGGAAGGTTGGGCAATCCTACTTCCGTAGTGATACTGCCTCGAAAACCCAAGGAGGGGTCGCTATGAGTCGGGGCCGACTCGACGGCACATAACAACAACAACAACAACAATGTGAATTTGATCTAAACAATTATACTTCTCAATGAAAGTAGTTAAATTATTAAGAGGGTTGAATGGGCATTATTGAATCATACTAATTATGTTATCCTAGTGCCTTTATTTGCTAAGGGGTAAAAAAAAAAAAAAAAAACTCCCGTTGAGTCGATTCTGACTCATAGCAACTCATCCTTGGGTTTCCGAGGCAGTGTCTCTAGGGAAGTAGATTGCCCAGTCTTCCTTCCGAGGAGTGACTGGTAGATTTGAACCACCAACCTTCTGGTTATCAGTTAAATGCCTAAGGCACTATGCCACCAGAGCCCCCTGCTAAGGGACAGATAGTTTAAAATCTATCCTCTATATTGAGTGACTCACATAGATGATCTTCTGTCATCAGTGTAAATATCCAGCTTTCTAAATCATTGTAAATTGATGTGAAGTTCCAAATGTTATTCTAGTAGTTACCATAATATATAATTTTCTTTCCAATTAAATGGGTCTTTTGATGTTAGGGAAATCAGATTTTGAGTTGAAAATATTCCTTTCATGGAATAAATGAGAGCAAAATTATGAAAATGAAGCTAAAATTTCTTTTTTTTTTTTTTTTTGGTTTTGCACACTTATATGAAATTCTTAACCTAAATTAGCTTACATGATAATACGATAATAGTAATATAGTAAATCTTTGATTATTGATTCTGATGAACATGAAGCAAACATATAAATAATATAAATAAATAGAATTCATAAAGAATTTTTGATTATGAAATCTATTATGACAAATGAATTTTCTTCTCCATCCTCCCCCACCAAAGAAAAGTACTCAAACTCTAATATCACTAGTTTCTTCACCTTTCATTGATTCTAACATTGATATTTTATTTTAGAAATTGAACCCATGGGCATTTAAAGAGATAGATATAATTTCATTCATTTTATCTGTAGATGAAAAATTGAAAGTTGATAGTATTTAGGAGTAAACGATCATATGAACTGCATTTAAAGGTAAGACTGGGGAATGCATTTTCATTTTTCATATTTTTTGCCATTTTCTCCATAGGTAGTGAAATTACATGTTAATCTGTTGATCTCATTGAAAACTATTGGCTGCCAAACACAAATAACTTTCTGCTCTCTATTCCTTTTGTAGGCTGCTTTGAGTGCTACAGACATGGCTTTGGCCCTCAATCGGTACCTGTGCACAGCCGTCTTGCCTCTCTTAACGAGATGTGCTCCCCTCTTTGCTGGCACAGAGCACCACGCTTCCCTCATTGACTCTTTACTTCACACTGTGTACAGACTTTCTAAGGGCTGCTCACTTACCAAAGCTCAACGGGATTCCATAGAAGTGTGTTTACTCTCCATTTGTGGGTAAGTGGGCATCTCACTCAATGCCAAGTTTCTTCTTCTTTAAGAAAGAGAAATTACTCTGAGATCTTTGACAAATTTTTATGAAGTTTAGAGACAATTTCTGTTCAAAAATTAATTTGTTGGATTTCTTATATGTTAGGTGGTCCTATGCACTTAAGTGTGGGTCTTTCAGACCTCTTTGTCTTTGTTACATTAAAGAGGAGTCCTTTAGGCCTTTGTAGGGTATCTAACACTGGTTACACTGTTTGACTCAGTATAGTATGCTATTCTGGATGTTGGTGGTAAGAGTATTTCTGTGAAGAATCTCTGGGCATGTTAATGTATGATTATATATTATATTAATTATAATTATATTTACATTTTATAATATATATTTTATAAAAATATATATTATAAAATTATATAAATAAAATATATTATAAAAATATAAAAATATTTTATAATATAATTATATATAATTATAATTATATTAATATATTCTCCCTTTTAGACTGTGTGTGATGATGTTTAATTTCTTTTCCAGAAGAGGAAATAAAAAGGAAGTTGTTAAATGTAAAATAAAGTATAATTTTATCATTAATGTTAATATTACTGAATTACTTATGTGTGGCTGTGATTAAGGTTGAATGAGTCCTCCAGTCTGGAAAACCAGCACCCCATTGGCCCCTCCTATTGAAGCATAGTTGTTTTGAAAGAAATTAAGTGTTACTTCCTGGTTACCTGCTTCCTGTTTCTGGGAGCATGGTTCAACTAATAGTGGTTTAGGATCTTGGCTAATCAAGTAAAATGTTGGCCTAGTGCTTTACAGAAGTAGGAGCAACAGTGCCTCTTGATTGAGCTGAAATGGTAATTGGCTTGGAGAGGTGGTACTAGAAATTTCTAAAAGCTGGCTACAAGTCAAACCAACCCAAATTAGGTGCTGATGCCCTATCTTCTGCTCTAGAAAGTTAGATTCATTCTGTTTTAAGTCTACCTGCACAAATGTATTAGTTTTCTTAGATACAGATGATCTCCCAAGCTAGAGAAGGATTGAAAGAACAAATGTGGCAAGTGTGTATTAGTCTCTGTGTGTGTACAGGTGTACATTTTTATTTCAGGACAAGGGCTGAGGAGGCTTATGCAAAAAGACAGACTTTGAATACATAATAGGTCTGTGTTTCATATAAGCAGACTTCTCCATAGACAGTACAGTCTGTCTACTTAAATGAATAATGGAAAACTAGCTTCAAATGTATGAAATAATTCCTTATAGTTATTTTATTCTTTGGTTAAAAGACATGCTTATTTAATTATTTTAGTAAATAAAATGTGTAAATAGCAAGTTTTAGTTTCATACAACAGGTTATATGTTTTAGAACAAATATTGTCCAACAAATGTGGTCCTAAACTTTGAACCTCATTTTCCAAAGAAATAATTAGGCAGAGAAAGGAGTATAAAAATCCTAAGTGTGCGGGAGAGAAACAGAGCATGGATTCTTGACTAAAACAGATTGTGTTTGAGCTCCTAACATTAGTAATACAAGGCATTTGACTGCTAACCAAAAGGCGGACAGTTCAAACCCACCAGCCACTCCTTGGAAGGAAGCCTGGGCAATCTACTTCCATAGAGATACTGCCTTGGAAACACAAGGAGGGGTCGCTATGAGTCAGAATTGACTCAATGGCAGTGATACTGGTTTTTCCTTAATGCTAAGGGTCTGGAAAATGAAAGTAATAATTATCTATATTATAGGGCTTTTTTATTGACAAGTATGAATTGGTGGCTGTCATTTTGTTATGTGTTTTTTCATGGTGTCCCTGGTTTCTTTCTTCCATATTATTTTCTGTGCTGAGCTCATTATGTTTATGAATCATATTATCATTTCCTTTGTTGCTGTTGTTTTAGTACTTGCTGAATATTTGTGCTTGTCCTCTTTTTTATTGTGATGTGGAGGTTTATCATTTTTCTTTGAGATTACCCTGTGATTTATAATTTTCTCCCCAAGATTAGAACAGTCCATTCTATCTTGCAACTCTCTTGATTTCCTCACCATTTAGAAGTTCTGTAAGTACTGAGTATTTTCCCTCTTTTTGTTTGTAGTTGTCTTCACTTGCCAGTTGATGTCTCTGGTTCCCGGTTTACAATCTTGTAAGCTTATTTTACTTTGAATATGTCCATAGCTGTGAGTTTTGGGTTATGTCATCTTGTGTATTAATGGTCCATTGTCGTTTGCTATTTTTGGTTCTCTGTTCAAAGGACTCCTTTTAGTGTCTCTGGTGAGGTTGATGTGGTTTTAACAAATTCCCTTAGTTTCTGCTTATCTGGAAATCTCCTAATTTCACTATCATATTTGAGGGACAATTTTGCTGGGTATATAATTCTTGGTTGAAAATTTTTCTCTTTCAGAGTTTTATATATACCATCCCATTACCTTCTCACTTGCATGGTTTCTGCTGAGAAATCAGAGCTTATTCTTACTGGTTGTCCTTTGTACGTAACTTTTTGTTTTTTCCATGCTGCTTTCAGGATGTGTTTGATGATGATATATCTTGGTGACTTTCTTTTGGGGTCTATCCTGTTTGGGGTTTGTTGGGCTTCCTGAATGGATATATTTTCCTCTTTCATCATATCAGAAAAGTTCTCCTCCAACAAATCCTGGGCAATTCTCTCAGTGGTTTTATTTTCATCTTCCTGTTCTAGAATTGCAGTGACACATAGGTTATACTTTTGATGGTATTCCACATGAACCTTAGGCTTTCTTCATTTTGTTTTGATCTTTTTTTCTGATTGATCCCTTTCCCAAGAAGTATTCAGGTATTTGTCTTCAATTTCATTAATTCTGTCTTCCATTGCATCAGTTCTACTCCTTTTGCCTTTCCAATGTGTTATCTAATTTTGACAATTTAGTATTAATCTTCTGGATTTCTATCTGTAGATTTAGAATAATTTCTAATTTTTCATTTATTTTGTCATTTTGTTATTGTATTTTCTTGCAAAATTCTTCTAGGGTTTATTCTGTGTTTTCCTTGGTCTGTCTCTCAGTCCTTTGAAGCTACTTAAATATAATTCTTTTGAATTCCTTATCAGAAAGTTCCAATGCTGCTTCTTCCTCAGGGATGTGTTTTGGGTCTGTATCCTGCTCCCTTGTTTCTACCACTTAATCTTGCTTCTTTTTGTGGGCTGTGATGATCAGTTGTCTCCAAAACATCATGGTGTTGTTGTATTTAGATCTCTGTTAACTGTTTGTGAAGAGTAGCCATGGATGAGTCAGTCTCTTCTTGGTGGTTGTTTATCGTTGGCCCATTGGTGAAGAAGGAAGTGGTGGCTCTCACTCAGTAAGTGAAGCTACAGAGGTGTGGGCATAGATGTGTTGTATGGGGACAGTTACTGTTTTCCACTCAGTTAGACAAAAATAACAATTGAATAACCACCAAAGTCTAAAAGCAAATGGACAAAAAATACCCCATGTAATCACACAGGAATAGTAACCAAAGAAAGAAAAAAGGGAAAAAGAAAGAAAGAAAAACCCTGCAATATCCGGGGAGAGGGCAATAAGGGACAAAAGGTGGAAGGAGAATGATGAAGAAAAAAATGAGTAAAATATGAAAAGAAAACAAGGAATGGTGTTAACCATGAGAAAGAAAAAAAAAAAATGCAACTAGGTACAGGAAAAAGAAAAAAAAAAAAGCTGAAAACTAGAACCTGGGAGGGGGAGAATAAAGAATAATAGTAAAAAGAACAAAAGTAATAATAATAATAGTTTGAAAACAGACAAAAATAAACAAACTACAAAACATAAAAAAAAAAAAAAAATTGGGGCAGTGTGGGGCATGACACCCAGGCTCTGTCCGAGCACACGGACTGGGATGGAATTCCTGCCAGCCCAGATAGTGGGTGGGAGTGAAGGATAGCTGCATATCGTTCACCAAGAGGGTGTGGGGTATAAGAGTAACAAGGAGAATGTTGCATCTTTCCAGTCGTCCGGGTCCAAAATGTCCTTGGGGTTCTCAGCAAGTGGAGCCTGTTCTTAAGTCCCTGGAATCTGGGAGAATGCTGTCACTTTAAATATCCAAAATGGTCAAGCCGCTCGTAAACATTCAAAATGGCTGGGCCCTCTGGACAGACAAAAGTCCACAGCTCAACCCACCTTCCTCTTCACTGCTTCCCCTTTTGTTCCCCAGCCACCAGAGCAGTCCTGCATGCAGTCCCTGTCTATCAGGGCCGATTTTTAGGTTAATTCTTATGTCCTACCACCACTTGGCAATATTCAAGCTGTCTGTGCCATCAGGATCGCTGCCAGACCACAGCTCTGTATGTCTCCTTTTTTGGTGTTTTCATTAAAATTCTACTGCTAGTTGGAGTTTAGTCCACTTCTGTATCCTTTCCTTCAAGGCTCAGGTGTCCAGGATTATCTTCTGTATCTGTGTTACTTGGTTCCCCTTTTCTTTGTTGAAGAGGGTCTGTGCAGTCTTTCTGCCTATTCCGCCATCTTACCAAAGCTGCCACTTTTAGGGCTTTTTTAAATAGTAAATGAGGTAAAGTGCTGAGCAGTTTCTGACAGTGTAGCTGTTCACTGTGGGTCAGTTTCTTTTCTTTCATCCTGTGGGAAAATTAAGGAGCTCTGGTGGTATAATGCCTAAAGTATATGACTGCTAACCAGAAGGTTGGCAGTTCAAACCTACCAGCCACTCCGCAGAAGGAAGATTGGGCAATCTACTTCCATAAAGATTTACTGCCTTGGAAACCCAAAGCACTTTGAGTTGTAATCAATTCAATGGCAGTGAGTTGTTTGGTTTTATTCTAGCAAAATTATCGTCCCAGCCTTTATTTGTATGTTTATTTATTTCCATTCTTTCTGCACCTAAACACGCTCTTCTCTCTGCTTCTGATCTAGTCACTGAAGACCACTGCTCACTCATTGGAGTAAGGAGAGAAACATTTCCTAGAGTTAATAAAGGGAGGTCTCAGCAAATGATATAGTATGCAGTTGAGAGTGCTTAGGAAGGAAAGAAGCTAAAGAGAGATAACTTTTATAGAAGATGGGGGGGGGTCTTCAGCTCTGGAAGACAGAGATGAGTTGGACAACATAGCCTTTTCTAAAATTATGTCAGTAGTTCATCTTTGTATGAGTAACACTTGAAGAAAGGTATATCATCTGAAGAGAGAGATAGGCATAGGTTATTGGCTGATATAATTGAGTCTAATGAATTATCAGGAGCTCTGGTGGCATAGTGCCTAAGGCATTTGACTGCTAACCAGAAGGCTGGTTGTTCAATCCCACCAGCCACTCCTCAGAAGGAAGGTTGGGCAATCTGCTTCCATAGTGACACCACCTTGGAAACCCAAGGAGGGGTCACTATGGGTCAGATCCGACTAGACAGCAGTGGGTCTACTTAGTTTAGACATATTTCCTTTCTTTTTTAAAAATGGCATTGTTCCAACAGCCAATTGAGACCTTCAATGATGCAGCATTTACTCAGAAGATTCGTTTTTGATGTCCCATTACTAAATGAACATGCAAAGATGCCTCTGAAGGTAAGTGCAGCAAGTGTTCCTAGTTGTGTGATTGCTAGTTACTCTGCCTTGTTTCCTGCTATAACATGTGGACTTCTTAGATACATCATGCTTAATCACTGATGTTTGACATTTTCTTCCAGTTATTAAATAGATACGTTATAGAAATATGCACATTTGCTTAAAATAAACACATAATAAAATAGTGTGGAAATTCTAGGATTGATTTCCAGTGGATCACAAGGGAAGGATAGGCCAAGACATTCTAAAGGCTGGAAAAGTAAAATATGATAACAACTTCAAAGGATAGTTGAGTTTAGGAAACATATTTTCTAAGTTGATAATTAATGAAAGCTTCCAAATTTCATCTTATACAGTTAAGGATAAAAACTCTTTCTGTATATGTAGTTACAGTTTGTCACAGAGTATTTAGAAAAGCCCCTGACTGCTCTGTGCTTCAAGGCTGTATGGTAAAGTAATGGACTTGTTACAGGACCACTCTGCAGGCCATCCAGTTGATGTTATTTTTTCCTCTGTCCCCACCCCCAATAACAGAACTATAGAAAACAGATTGGTATATAAGTTAATCTATTGTTTGAGCTCTGTTAAACTGAGAATCTATAGATATTTAACAAAAATGATCTCTCTATGAAAATAGGTTTTTGTTTGATAAAGCAAGAGAAACCAATGAACTTTGTAAATTAAATAAAATCTTTGTTTAAAATCCCATTTTTGTAGTTTTCACTACTTAAGATAGCCCTTGTTATGCAAAATTGTCTTTATATAAAATATAAATATACCTGAAAAAGATGTAGTACCAGTGTCTTATCTTTATGCAATGATACTTTTATATTATAGATATTTTCACATAAATATATATGGGGGGTAGGGAATGGGTGATGTGTGTGTGTACGTGTTGGTGTGTATGGGTTTTGTAACTGAGATGGAGACCAGACTAGAAAAAAAATTACAACAATAAGAGATTTTAGCTCTAATAACAGTCATCTTTATTAAGAGATTCCCAAAATATTATATTTGATTCATAAATATCAATTTATTAATTTTGTAAATAATTGTGACTATATGCTAGTTTATAGCTTTAGAATAAATGAACAGAAGAGCTACCAAATAATTGAAAGATTCCATCCTTGTCCTTAAACTTCCAGTTTAGTCCTGACAGATAAGATTACATAAGTGAAACTGTAAGATGCAACATACACATTACAACAAGGTACCCAGAGCCACCACAGAAATGTAGTTAAATGGATAATTCCAGTATAGCAGTTTTGAAGTTCATTTAGAAAGGCATATTTTCAGGCAAGTCACAAAGTGTGATGGTTAAGGATAAGCAGAGAGGGAATAAAAATATTCACAGATGTTTATTTCTCTTAGAGTATACATTTTAGGTAATTACCTACAGGTAATTTAGTTATTTGTACTTGATTATCACTTAGAGCTAACTGGATATCAATCTTGTCACTTTATTATTGTAAGGATTCATAAAATCATAAGTATGTACAGAGATGTTCATCCCATCATTGTTCAAAGTTGTCAAAATGTAGAAAGAATCTAAATATCCATCAACAGATGAATGGATAAACAAATGTGGTATATCGAAATAATGGAATATTACTCTGCCATAAAGGGAATTGAAGTCTTGATACACACCACAACATAAAAGAACTTTGACAACATTATGATGAGTGAAATAAGTCAGTCACAAATGGACAAATATTGTATAAGACCACTTAATATGAAATATCTAGACTATACAAGTATACAGAGACCAAAGCTTAGTACTGCTTATTAGGAGGGAAAGAAGGAAGGGGAAATTTTGCTTAAAGGTAGTGAGTTTCTGTAAATGGTGGTGGAATAATTTGGAAATGGATAGCAGTAATGGTTGCACAGCATGATGAATGTAACCAATATTACTGAATTATGCATGTAAACATGTTGAATGGCAAATATTATATATATATATATATATATATGTGTGTGTGTGTGTGTGTGTATTTATATATGTGTGTGTATATATATGTATATATATATGTACACATACATATGTATAGATACATACATATACATCACAATAGCACAAAAAATTGTGATTAAGTAAAATAAAAATTGAATTGAAAATTAAGAGAACAAAAAAAAAAGCATGAGTGAATGATAGTAATTTAAAAGTAGAACTATAGAATACAGAGGTAATCAAACCACCTCATAAAGAACACTTTTCAAGATAGAGTTACTAGTAGAATTGGTCACTTTGGTCTTCATATTGTTTTCAGTATTTAATTTTAAAGAGATAGTGTATGAGGCAACAATTGGAATTCTTCCAAAGCAATTCATATGTGATTTAGAAGTGTCACTTATATTGACTTTACTACATGGCATTAGAATACCATATGGAAGAAAATGAAAAAAAAATATATTTTCTATACAGTTCAATGCTTTTATAATTGCTTTCCCATGAAGCTGCTGACAAATCATTTTGAAAGATGCTGGAAATATTACTGCCTGCCAGGAGGGTGGGGAAACTTTGGTGCTGCATCAGAAGAAGAACTTCATTTATCAAGAAAATTGTTCTGGGGCATTTTTGATGCTCTGTCTCAAAAGGTAATTTGATGTTTTATGGATTTATTTTATTGATAATAATAAGCTGTAGGTTCTTGATTAGATAGTTGCCGTAGAGAAATAATATCTCTTAATCAAAACTAACATAGCTTTATGTTTTGTATTTTGACAACCTAATAACAAATGCAGAGAATGCAATTTACTTCAATTTTTCATAATCACGGTGGTAGCATATTCCTTGTGATCATTACACTCTTTCTGAATTATTAATGACCAGGTTTTTCTGGAAATTAAGCATATGGCTTGGTAAGTTTCTTGTGCAGTTTATTTGGAATTAATGCCTCCCTAGTCACTACGCTACTTACAAAGACTGAAGAAATCTTTAAAAATTTAAAAATATAAAATCTTTTGAAATTAAAAATTCCAGTGTGCTTATTGACTTCTCTTTTTGTGCTTTATGGAGAGTTAAGGACCTCTGCCAGTGTTGCTTTATGTATGCAACATTCCCTTATAGATGTCCTATTTACAATGAATGTTTTATTCTTTTTTTTCTCAGATTGGAGAATAGTTATCTCTGAGAAAATCAGAACATTCATTGCATGTTCTTGCTTAAATTTTTCATCAGAATACGTTTGGACTCCCAGACAGACATTATTAGATGATTTGAATAGTAACCAGAAGCTTGTTACATACCCAGGGAGAATTTATGTAGGGTTAAATTTGGTAGTTACATCTTGTTGTTTTGTCTCACTGAATTGCCTTTGTTAAATGAGAGTCCTTTTGAAATAATACAGGACATTTTTTAGAATTATTTACAACATTAATTTATAATTGAATACTTAAAGTGAGATAACTTAACCATTATTTTCATTTTTAAAAATCTAGAAATACAAATTTAACTAATTATGTGATTAATGTATACATACTCCCCATAAATTTTTATTGTGTACATTTTCTATCAAATTCTTTTTCTGTAATGCATTATAAATCAGTAAAAAATTTCTCACTCTTTGGAATGTTATCTTTTATGTATTTTGTGTGTATAGGCATTATAATGTGGTAACCAATAATTTATAACTAACTGGAAGGAATATAATCTTCATTGCCTGACATAATAATTATGTTCTTAAAATATGTTACACACTTAGAATATTCGTACTTACTTAAAATATTGAAGAATAAAGTTTTGGGAAGGGCATAGAGTTTACTTTTCTACTGCTGCAACTGCAGTATGTATAACTTCCGCTTCTCTTATGTGTGATGAGATTTCAAGCTTTATGTTTCATTTGCTAGAAAAGGATCTGTAGTGAGTTGAGATGGCTCACAGTAATTCAGATTTTCTCCTGACAACATTGAACTAGCCACAGTTTTTGATGGTCTACATTTCTTTCCAGAAATATGAACAAGAACTTTTCAAACTGGCTCTGCCTTGCTTGAGTGCAGTTGCGGGAGCTTTGCCTCCAGACTACATGGAGTCAAATTATGTCAGTATGGTGGAAAAACAGTCATCAATGGATTCTGAAGGGAACTTTAACCCACAACCTGTTGATACCTCAAAGTATGGACTCTTTCTATTGCAGCAGATTTTTATTGTAAATGATGTGTGAAGTCTGAAATTGAATAAGGTACTAAAGTGAACTTTCTCTAATCCATGCCCCCTTTGAATTGGTATCCTTTTAATAAGAGTCTCTTTACTTTATAAAATAATAGTAATAATGTTTATACTAAAATCAGAAATAGACAAGAATGTACCTTCTAGGATACTCTTAACATGATTAGGATTCTTAGCATATAACAGCAACGATATAAATCTATAATCATGAGAATCAAAGAACTCTATCAGTTATATTGAAAATGTGCCCTAAATATTTATTAATAATTACAACTAACCTCTGTGTAGCATCTTTTACCCCAGTTGATCGTAGCATGCACTACAGAGCTGTTTGTAGAAGCTGTAGGGAATCTCTTCACTCATCACTGTATCTCAGCAAGGCCTAGGACTTAGCAGCTGGGGTTCAGCATCATAAAACACAGCATGGGATTAAAAGGAATACCAAATGAGAATATTTGTAGGAAATTTAAAATGCAGTTTCAACAACCTTAACCAAAGATAAAACATTATTTAACATTATGAAACCTTTCACATGTGCTTAGTTGTATAAATTGTGCTTAACAATAGGATGTTTGGGTGTTCAGATGCTTGAAATCTCAGCATTATTGTTTTTGTTTTTGTTTTATAACTGTCTTCAAGTAGGACCATGGTTTCCCATTTGCAAGGAAAGCTGCCTCTTCATGCCACATTATCTTATTGATTTCATGGTGACTCAACAAGATTAGTTTTAGCAAGGCAGTCACTTGGTAGTTATTGCCCACCACATCAGAATGTGCTTTGCAGTTCAACTTTGAGGCTTCTGGGCGGTCCCCCAGCTGGTTTAGCTTCCATAAGCAGATCCAAATTTCAACCTAAGTGGTATGCCATTACTTTGATAATGCCTTAAATATGCATGTTTGATATTTGATGACAGTCCTATGAGAAAGACTCTACCCCCACAGTATTTGGTTTATGTGATCCTTTGTATCTCTTTCAAAGTAAGTAAACCAAAATATCATATGTTGACATTCATACATGGGTAAGTTTCCAGTTGCTAATATAGAACATAACCCAGAGTTATGAAATAACATCTGAATGATGTCATGAAGTGGATGTTGGTCAATTAATTACAGCAAATAAGTGATGGATATGTATACTAATACCTAGACTTGACATCTGCGGGGCTTCTCAATAGATGTACACTTACATAGTGGAATGAAATAATTTCTCAATCTTTGTGATTTTTATGTATTTGCTTCTTAAATATGTGTGTTGTCATGAAGTTCAATTAGTGAATGATGTCTTTGCTAGGGAAAGAAACACAGTAAGCCAGGTCTTTGTATTAGATTTGATTTAGAATCTTATTCTCAAGGTTAATTGCTTTAATAAGTTGTGTTCATTAATACATGGAATTGTAGGTATATGCAATGGAATGGAATTCTATATATACACATACACACACACACACACACACACATGCATACATACATATAAAACAAATCAAACCCACTGCCATCAAGTCTATTCAACTCATAATGACCCCTTCTTGGGTCATTATGAGTTGAATTGACTAGATTACCCAGTCTTCCTTCTGAGGAGTGGCTGGTGGGTTTGGGTTTGAACCTCCAGCCTTCTGGTTAGCAGTCAAATGCCTTAAGCACTATGCCACCAGAGCTTATATATATATATAAGCTATATATAAACAATTGTATATATACATCTATGTGCCTATCTATATTTCTGTTTTCCATCTATAGATATATTTGATAGCTCCCAGGTCTTGCATTTACCATCAGACTTGGTTATCAAATGAACATATTCAACATGTGCTCAAGGAATTAAGTATTTAAACATGAAAAGAGCTGAGAATAAATTTTATCAAAATTATCAACTATGAGTTGATTAATTACTTTTCACTATATTAGATATTAAGGTGCTCTGGTTGTGCAGTGCCTAAGGCATTTGACTGCTAACCAAAAGGTTGGTCATTTAAACCCACCAGCTGCTCCACAGAAGGAAGGTAGGGCAATCTACTTTGGTGAAGACTGCCTTGGAAACCCAACAGGGATTGCTATGAATCAAAATCAACTCAATCGCAGTAGGTTTGGTTTATTGTTTTTTTTTTATAGTGGATATTGAGGAGCTCTGGTGGTGTAGTGGTTAAGAAATTTGGTTGCTAACCAAAAGGTTGGTGGTTCGAACCCACTAATAACTCTGTGGAAGAAAGATGAAGCTGTCCGCTTCCATAAAGATTTACAGCCTTGGAAACCCAATGGGGGTCACTATGAGTCAAAATCGACTCTATGGCAGTGAATTTAGTTTTGTTTTTTACAGTGGATATTGGTGACATTTACAGTGTTATGTACACCATTACTATTTAAAATCATTGATACATTAGTTGGATGAAGTTTGTTAAAAATTTCAATAAGTTTTAAAAGTAGATTGGATTTCAGCAACTTTTTTCATTTTTATTGCAGAAGAGAAAACTGAAAAGAGAACGTAACTTGAAAGAAATAATTCGGGAGAGAATGTATCTCTAAGTTTGTTGAGTCTAACCATATCTTGATTTATTTGGGGAGGATGTAATATATTGCACTCACCTTGTAATATGTTTTAATATTTTATCTTTATACCATATCTAGCTTTATTATATATTATTTATTATGTTGTTAACACATAATAAAGTATGAATCAATATATGATGAGCAGATAAAATACTAACTGCTTGGTTTTTTTATGTTGTTCCTAAAATATGAAGCAAATAACACTTTGTTAAAACTATTTTAACAGTCACGCATTAAATATGATCTAAATAATATATCTTATGATAAGATGTAGGAGCTCTGGTAGTGTAGTGCCTAAGGCACTTGACTGCTAACCAGAAGACTGGCAGTTCAAACCCACCAGCCACTCCTTGGAAGGAAGGTTGGGCAATCTACTTCCGTAGTGATACTGCCTCAGAAACCCAAGGAGGGGTCGCTATGAGTCAGTTCCGACTCGAGGACAAACAACAACAAAAACAACAACATGATAAGATGTGGGTAAATTATTATTATGATTTTCTATAAGTTCTGTGAAAATCAAGCTTTTTTTCTTTATTCTTCTTGTAGTATTACAATTCCTGAAAAGTTGGAATACTTCATTAACAAATATGCAGAGCACTCTCATGACAAGTGGTCGATGGATAAGGTAAAAGACAGAGTCTTGCTTTCTGAGTTAGCATTATTGTCCTTCATGATGGGTTACTGTACACATATTCTAACAATGACAATATTCTACTTTAGAGTAAAAGCATTTTTTCAGGAAAGAACGTTTGATTACAATTTGCTAGTATAATTTTTAGCAAGTTCTGCCACTAACACAAGGATGATAAACATATGAATAGGATATTTGTGTCATAAAAAAACCACAATTTTAGTATTTCAAAACATCATTAATTAAATAATAAATATTATTTCTAAACAAATGCAGTTTGGGGGAGTGAAAATAAGTCACTTAGAGCTTTAAGAGGTGTTGTTGACTCATACGTAAACCTTGGATTTATGTGTAATTTTATAAAATTACACATAGAAAATCTTTTTAAAAAAACTTTCAATCAGGGTTCTATTCTTCTATAGTATTTGTTACTAACAAGTCCCTAAAAGTAGATTATATTGGCCTGTTTTTTTTGTGTGTTTTCAGGAAAAACAACCTAAAAAAGTTGACTAAAGCAGTAGCAATATATGACACAATTCCTAAATATCATGAGAGTTTATAAAAGAGACGTCATGTTGAGGATTCACATTTAAATTGATTCTAGTTTAGAAGATGATTAAAATTATTTAGAAGATGATTAAAATAGGTTTTGCAGAGTTGAAATAGTGTGATGATTAAGTGAAAATCAAAAAGCAAAGTTCTAAAAGATACTTACGTAGCAACGCTGTATTCTCATGCTAGTTTTCATATTCACCCTCAGTCCATGCACTGGATAACCAGGCTCTTATCCCCACTAAGAAACCCTCTTTTTCTTTTTAATTATCATGACTCTTTGTTCAGTAATTGATTTAATCAGGAAACCAACAAGGATCAGTTGTATGTTTTATGTATTAAGTACTGAGCTGATAGAAGTAGTGATGGAGGAGAATTTTACTGGAGAGTAGTCCTGAGTTATTCCCATCTGGCTAACCAGATTCCACAAGCAAATATTATAGGGAAACATTGATATATACAGATGGGCAAAGTAATATGGAACAAACAGCATCCAAATTGGTGACCCCATGCCAAACGCTGCCTGGTCCTGCTCCATCCTTTTGATCAGTTGGAGATTGGTCTGTTGTGATCCATAGGATTTTCACTGGCTGATTTTTGAAAGTAGATCACCAGACCTTTCTTCATAGTCTGCCTTTGACTGGCTGCACCACTGAACCCAGTTCAGTCTCATTGCAACATGTAAGCCTCCAATGACAGACATGTCATGGCTTTGCATTAAATGTATTGGCTGGGAATGAATTCCAGGTTTCCAGTATGGAAGGTGAACATTTTATCACTGAAACCCCACTGCCCCCAGAACAAACATGCTGAGATATAATAGGATATATAAATGAGCAAAACAGGGAGCCTTATTCAGGGGTGCTTCTAAGATACATATTCCTGTTTTCCTGTTTAAAACAAGTATTTCCCATAACTGGGTGTCCCAAGATGTGGCAGAATAAGTAAAGGGTCTTGACATCATTTTAACTTCTTAGCAGTATGCTTATTGTCACAATCACAGAGCTTGGTCTGTTGAAGGAAGATTAATCTTTGCATTAAAAGATTTGTTTCAAATGATTACTCAAAACAGCATTGACTAGAATGGAAATCTTTATATTGACTTATGCTAGATAAAATGCAAGCTTCAATACTTGTTTTGGTTCATTTCATGCTTATTTTATCAAACATAATTAAGCATATGCATATCTATACTCTAATACATGCAATACGATTTTTTTTTTAGTTGGCAAATGGATGGATTTATGGAGAAGTATATTCAGACTCTTCTAAGGTTCAGCCTTTAATGAAACCATATAAACTACTATCTGAAAAGGTAAAGGTTTTGTTTTTTTCAAGTTTATATAGTTTTTTTTTTAATGTTTTCCTTTTGTAAAAATGTTTTATTATATATTTTCTTACAAAAATGTCTATTTTATATTTACTATTTTTACTTCTGTTTAAAAGTTCAACTTTTTTTCTTATATTTCCTGATTTTCCCTCCATTCCCATTTTCTGTCAGTATTTTATTGGTATTCTCTTCTCTGTGTAATATTTTTCTGTTAATTTTCAATTCCTAATTCTTCACTATATTTTTAAGAACTTTAGAACATAGTCTTACATGTTAAAGAGTTTCCTAATGAGGATAATGAAGTACTATTTCAATATCTGGTGGTGTAGTGCCTAAGGCATTTGACTGCTAACCAGAAGGCTGGAGGTTCAAACCCACCAGTCATTCCTCAGAAGGAAGATTGGGCAATCTACTTCTGTAGTGACACCACCTCAGAAACCCAAGGATGGATCGCTATGGGTCGGACCCAACTTTATGGCAATGAGTTTGAGTTTATTATTCGCAAGTTTTCATGTACTTACTTCTCTGGGGGGAAACGAATACCTTGGTAAGTGAAGTGAAAAGGATTTTGCTAGCTAGATGCTTAGGAGGAAAAGTTATTTCTTTTTTTATTGAGTTTGTAGAAAAGTGTGTACACATTTATCACAGAATCTGTCATTTTTTCCTAATTGTGTTTTCCTTTCCAATTTCTATGTAAGCTGTTAGGAATGGGAAACTAAAAGAGTTTATTCTACATGCTCTAGTAATATAGGCAAAGCAGATTTCAACTCACACTTTGCTTTTCAGAATTCTTACTCTTTCCCTCCACCTTTTTCTTGAAACTAAAAAATGCCAGTTGAATTATTTAAAAGTGAAAGAATCTATTTCTGAACAAAGTATTAAATATATTTTAAATTTTAATTTAGGATCATAATATTCCATTTTCTTTCTTTTTCCTCTAGGAAAAAGAAATTTATCGCTGGCCAATCAAAGAGTCTTTAAAAACTATGCTGGCTTGGGGCTGGAGAATTGAAAGAACCCGGGAGGGAGACAGCATGGCTCTTTATAACCGGACTCGTCGTATTTCTCAGACAAGCCAAGTAAGACTCACTGTGATGAATCCACTCTTTTGTTATCTTTAAAGTAATTTTAATCTTTTAATTAATTGCCAGGTTTTTCAAAACAAACAAATTGAAAATTCTGAAGACTATCATAACATGTAGAACTGAACTGAAAAAAATGATGTTGCTTTTTCTTTCATTATGAATGACGTTACATTATGATGTCTAAAGGAATTGAGTGTACATATCAGCTCTTACGTCCCTGGCTAGCATATGAAGGAGTAACTGATTATAAATTCCTGGAGTTTTAGGAACAAAGGCTGCAAAACTTGTTCATAAGTTACAGTTAATGTCATTTGTATAGCTTTCTTCTCATTTCCAATAAGAACTAAATGTTGGTTCTTAGGGAGCAGTGGAATGCTCAGACAGTAATGATACCAATCTAGAACCTGGGTGGGTGTTCCACATGAGTGGGCTTTGGCCTGTCCAGTTACAAAGGGAAGATACACAGCTAGGAGACATAGCAAAAACTCTGGGCATATGTTCTCGGTGGGCCATGGCAAAGCAGTTCAGTTAACATTGTGCAATTCTGACTATGGTGCTTCAGTGCTCAAAGTTAGAAGAGTAAGGGAGACCCTCAACCAGGAGAAACCAAGGTTCAAGATGGGAACCAAATACCAGTTATAAATATTTAGTTATGAGGTTACCGGAGCTGCTTGCCTTTTGACACATCCGTTTCTCCTGGGAGCTAAACATGTCAATATCCCTTTTGTTTTGATTACTTAGTGCAGCTCTAACAGAAAAATAACACAAATGGGGTGGCTTTAACAAATAGGAGTTTATTCTCTTACAGTTTTGGAGACTAGAAGTCCAAGTTCAAAGTGCCAAGCTCTAAGGGCTGGGTAAAAGCCCCTCGACCTTGGGCTTCAACTCTGCCTCTTGCTCCCAGCCCACTGAAGCTGGAGGGATCTCTTCACTCAGGCAGCTGCTGGCTACTGAGGCTGACAAACCCAAGGTGAACAAGTAAAAAGGCACAGTTCTGACTTACCAAACCACATGGGCCATAGATTCAAGTCCATTAAGAGTCTTAAGATTGGCAGACAACATGGCAAACTGCCAAATAACAACTTGGCTACATGCAGGATTCAAGTGTGCCAAAAGCTGCAGACCTTTGTCAACCCTTCTCCTTATATACTGGAATCAGACCACATCCCTAACTGCTCCAGTAGATTCCGCCATTGAGGTGTTACCAATCTCACCATGGTGAATAACTACATCCAGCTGCCCAGACACTCAAAACCAGGCCCAGCCAAGCTGGCACACAAGTTAACTACCACACCTTTTCTTACATCTCAGCCCATGAATTTATCTTACACAAAACATCGTGTTTACTATCACTATTTATGCAGATAAACGTTTTGAAGCAAAAAACAAAGGTACTAAAAGTATATGCTTCACATGGCTCATATTTAAATATAGATCTCAATGAAATTTTGATTTGGGCATATTTTACATTAAATTTCTCTTACCTAAGTATCATGATGGAGCTTTGGTGGCATAGGGGCTAAGGCTTTTGACTGCTAACCAGACAGCTGGTGGTTCAAATCCACCAGCCACTCCTCAGAAGGAAGGTTGGGCAATCTACTCCCATAGTGATACTGCCTCGGAAACCTAAGGAGGGGTTGCTATGAGTCAGATCCAACTCGATGGCAGTAAGTTTGGTTTGGTAAGTATCATGTAGGAGGACACTGTAGAAGCATATTTTCCTGGATACTGTATTTTTATGCAAATGACTTTCCTCTTTGGTTGATCAACTGCTTGTTCTCCTTGGGAAGGATTTTTGTAAATGCTACTATGCCAATTTTATTTTTTTACGTGTTGCTTAGAAAAAAAAATAACACATTTATAAAAATACCTCATAGAAGTAGGGAGCCATTGGCAAACAAATTTAAAAGGCACATATTACTTATGTAAAAATACATTAAACACATTCCTAACTAGATTAAATTTGTTTTAATCCATTTTGACAAGTATTAAGCAGAAACTGCATACTAGGCAATAGAAATACAAAGGTTAAATCTAGTTGTAATCTTCATGACTCAGAAATAGCTGTTAGAGAAAATCAAATTAAACCTACTACAACATAATGAAATAGTGTTAAATTAATGGTCCATACAAGGTACTACAGACATCAGAAAAATGAGAGATTTTTTTTTTTTTTTTTTTTTTTACCAGAAAGATAGGTAGTAAAAACCCTTGTAGCTCAGTGGTTAAATCACTTGGCTACTAACCAGAAGGTTGGCCATTTGAACTCACCAACCACGCTGAGGGTGAAAGATGAGACAGTCTGCTTCTATAAAGATTCACAGCCTTGGAAATCATAGGGGCAGTTCTACTCTTTCTTATAGGGTTGCAATGAGTCAGAATCAACTCAATAGAAATAGGTTTGGTTGGTTTGGTTAAGGTAAGTAGGACATAAGGTCATTTTCATATAATGGAGGTGACATTAAGCTTTGCCATGGTACATAAGGTAGATTTTCCTTTTGCTCTTAACAGCAAAAATTATATGCTCTATTTAAAATTGCATAGTTGCATATATTTCCCCCTCCTTTCATTGTATATTAACCCCTCAATAGACGTATTCACTGACACCCACAAAATCACCTGAAATCTTACCAGTGTTTAGAATCATACATGTGAGTTGTGATATACGTGCTAAAATTACCTATGATATTTCAAACTATTAGGTGGCAGTATTTAGGCAGAGACAATGTGTATAGGTTAAGAGTTTGAGCACTGGAATCAGGCCTAAGCAGTTGCTGTCAAGTCATTTTTGACTCACAGAGACCTCATGTGTGTGAAAGTGAAAGTGTGTTCAATGTTTCGAAAGACTGATTTTTTTGATGTACATTGCCGTGCCTTTCTTCTTAGATACGTCTGGTTGGTCTTGAACCTCCAATATTTCCATTAGCAACTGAGCTGTATTAACATTTTGCACCACCCATGGACTCCTTGGGTTTAAATCCTGGGACCATCACTTTCTAGAAATAGCTTTATGCATGTTATTTGATCTCTTTTTGATCTTAAATGTACACTCTGGTTATTGCTTTTATTATTTAAATATATATATTTTTGAATAACAGATGGTATTTCATTTATGGTAAATAAAAGAATGTATTTGTATTTGTAGCACTTTGACCTGTAAGCAGTAATTTACAAAAGAATATATCTGTCAGCATGAGGAATGAGGAGAAAAACCCAACAAATGCCAAAAATTTACAATCCTTGTCATTCTTTCATCCAAATATTCTTTAAGTATAAACCAAAATTATTTGATATGTTAAGACATAATTCTGTATCTAAGTTACTAATCTTACAGTATTCTTAAATATTATTTTAATAAAACATATCCACATCCCACAGTAAGCAAACTTGTTAATTTCTTTTTTTCTCCCCATTGCTGATTTCCCATGTGGTAGTAAAGATTTTTCCATTATGTTATTGATAACCTCTTTTGACTGAATTCAGGAGCAATTTTTATGGCATCAGTTACAGTAAGGAACATAATGGATGAATTGATACCACTTGTTGAATTGATTCTGGAGCCTGTTGTACTCAGCTTCCGTCCACTGGGCTCATCACTGTCCTCTAGGGGCAGGAGTAGTCTATAGCTACGTCTGCAAGATCTAGCACAACCTGCCTAGGTTGAAATCCTGGCCTTGCCACTGAGTAGCTAGCTCTATCTATAAGTATAAGAAAACTGGATAATCTCTCTAAGCCTCAGTTTTTTTCATCTTGAAAATGAAGCTGATGAGAGTATCTACATTGAAAGATCATTGTGAAGATAAGTGTTGTAATACTTACAAATTATTTCAAAGTGTGAGTGGCATACATTTCATTCAGTAAATGTTAGTCATAGTTAATATCATTATTATTTTTATCTTGATCATAACATAACATGGAGCTGGCTCAGGACCAGGCAGTGTTTCATTCTGCTGTGCATAGGGTCACTATGAGTCAGAGATAACTCGACAGCACCTAACAACAACAACAACGTGGGGAAAAGGAAGGGTTTTCATATCTACTTCTTAAAAAGCAACCGTTGAAAACCCTTTAGAGCACAGTTTTACTCTGACACACGTGGGTTGCCATGAGTTGGAGTCAACTTGACAGCAACTGGTTTAAATGGATTGACGTTGGCTGTGCATTCTTGATGGTGATCACTAAAGTCAGCATGAAAGAAAGACATGCCTTACAATATCAGACACATTCTAGGTTCTCTATGATTATTTATTTTCTCCAAATTATAATTACTTATCCTCTACCTTTTTAAAAATATCACAAATGTAGGACAAAAAGTATTTAAACAAATGTAAAACAAACTTATAATCTGGGAGTGTGAGGGGAATAAGAATGAAACTTTCAAGAAAGCATATCCCATCTAGAACTAAAATACAGACTAGTAGAGAGTAATGATTAATTTCTGACTTCAATAAATATATGTTCCAGGCTTTATTCAAAGTTCTTCAGATAGATCAATGAACAAAATCTACAAATGTTTCTGCTCTTATTGAGCTTATATTCTAATGGGAGAAGGAAACAGTAGATATAATCAGTAAATTATATAAGATGTTAGAATATGATAAACACCATGGGGAAAAACATACCAAGGAAAGGCAGATTATGGGTGTAGTGTTCAGCATACCAGGTACAGTTTTAGATAAGGTTGACAATGTAGATGCTATTGAGAAGATGAATTGCATAAGCCTGGAAGAGGTGAGGGAGTGTGACCTGGTATGTTGAGGAATATCAAGGAAGCTGTGAGGGTGGAGAAGGATCAGAGTCCTAGACAGGTCACAGGGCCCAGACCAGGTAGGGCACTGAAGATCAGTTTAAAGACTTCAGTAAGGGCTTTAGAGAAAATTAGTTTCAAGACTTATTTCTGCTGATTACTATTTATATGACTTAATGCCTAAGGGAGCTCTGGTAGCATAGTGGCTAAGACACTTGCCTGCTAACCAGACGGCTAGCGGTTCAAA